CATGACCTTAAACCACTGTGTGCAGCTAAGTCAAAACTGGGTGAAGAATGCTTTCCTCCATGCAAGGGCTATAGTAGTGAGCACGCATTTTCCACTTGTTGAAAGTATATCCACCTATGTCTGGGCTTGTGTTTCCAACAGCTTTTAGTTGAGGGACTTGAACACTGACGACTGGTAAAACCCCATTGTAATTCTTACAGCACTTTGACTTGATTTTCCTGCAGGCAAATTGTGTTATATAAGGATTAGGGCACTAGAATTGTTAATAGCAAGTTTTGTTTTGTTTTAATCACTACTGTTGCTGTAGTAACTGGGTTTACTTTTAGTTGAAGGTTTAACATAGCTACATCTGGAACAATTGGTTGTTTTTCAGTACATCTTTGCAAAGAAACTTCCTTCATCTCACACATGGCTTTGTTTTATGAGAACCTACATTAACAAAAACAACTGAACTTCTTAAACTTTTTAGCCCCATTTAACAGTACAGGGGAAGAGTCATGCACCTATTGTTCAGTAAAGCCCAGGAAACGACACCCTCTTACCATCTGTAGTTATAAGGCTAGTTCTTTAGCTGCCTGAGATTAGAATCTCATCATATCAGTCTGAATGCATGCCAACCTCTCAAACACTGAAAAGGAAAACCTCTGAAAATAAGAAGCCACAACTATTGAACACTTTATATATGTCAGAGGTGGGGGGTAGCTGGAGGGGAGGGTATGTAAAATGCCCTTCATCTCAACAATGTAAAGTGGGCTGTGTGCTATTTTACAGGTGAGGAAACAGAACAAGGGTCAACTGCCAAGTTCATAGAGCTAAGTGAGGAATCAGGGGCTGCATGACTCAGGCCCACGTGATGCAGGATGTCTCATATAGAAGTCTTCCCCTGCACCCAACATTCCTTCTTTTACATTTTCAAATTCTCCTGTACCTTACCTCCCCCTTACATTTACATTTGCAATTCTCTTGTACCCTACCCACCTCAGTAATCTCTGGCCCATCTAGCCCTCCCCAGTCTTGTTACCACAGGTAGTTAGCTAATTATTAATGAGAAAAAGGAGCAAAGGGAATTAGACATTGAGCTTAATCAACTGGGAAGCATGAGGCTGTTTGCTTCACCAGGAAGCTACAGCTTCAGACCCCATGGGATCACAGCATTGCTCCACCCATTGCTCCTCCTGTCCCCACTCCAGTAGTTGATTGTGGGGCTGGGGCGGGGAGGAGAGGGTGCATTATCCTCTTCATCAGCATCAACTCCCTTCTCCCTTTTCCCCCTTCCCTTTGCGAAAAACCTTTTAGTCTTTCTTTACATAGTCCATTACTAGAGACTAAATTCCTTAGCCTGGAGTTCAAGGCCCTCCCCACTCTCACACATACACATCTTGCCTCATGGTCACAATCCATCTGTTCTACTGTTTCTCTCTGCTTGCCATGCACACCCATCAAATGCAAGTAAGGATATTAAGGGACATTTCAAGTTCCACTTTCTCCATGAAGCACTCCCTCATTTCCCTGGCGGAAGTAGCTTCTGTGGATTTTCATAGCACTTGGTTCTTATCTTATAATAATACACTTATGTGTGCACATATCTGGCACCACTAACTATATGGAAACACTGGGAAAAAATGTTTCATGCATCTTTATACACCCCAAAGTATTTAACAGTATCTAATGTGTAGTCAGTATCCAGTAAATGCTCAAGGGAAGGGCAATTTAAAGAATACTTAAAATTTCTCTGAAGATTTAGTTAGAATGTTAAGAAAACATTGTATTCTACAGTTATTGTAATCACTCATTTATTATGCAAAGTTACACAAATTATTGCTCCATGAATCAAGCCTAGACAGAAATTATGTTCTTGTCTTACTCTTTAGTTACTTGGGTATGCATTTCCACCTAGTAGTTCTTTAAAAGACCACATCTTTTTTCCAATTTTCAAGTTTTAAAATTTCATTTTCCATCCTATGTTTTTTGTTCTATAAGGGATTGAGACACTTTTAGTAGTAATAACTGGTCATGAAATTCCAGGTAAACCATAATTATTATCTGTTGATGCTTTCTCCTTAATATTAAATATATGCCATACTTTTATTCGACCAAGTTTTTCTTTTAATGCACTAATTAAGACACACCAGAATATAAAATATCTTTCTACTTTCTAAGAAAATACTCTCAAAACAAGTGACTATATACCCTGGCTGGTGTGGCTCAATGGATTGAGCACTAACTACACTATGAACCAAAGGGTCATCAGTTCAATTCCCAGTCAGGGCACATGCCTGGGTTGTAGACCCCAGTAGGGGGCCCTTGAGAGGCAACGACACATTGATGTTTCTCTCCCTTTCTCTTCCTCCCTTCCCCTGTCTAAAAATAAATTAAAAACAAACAAAAAAACAAGTGAATACTTTTATCAAGAAAGGACCTGTTTAACTTCTCAACTTCCATTTTTGTTTTCAACATTGAATGTATTTTTAAGTGCTTTTAATTTTTTTTTGCATTTTTCCCCGCGTATTTCTTAAGTGCTTCCTAAAGGTGGTAAAAATTTGAGAATTTCTAAGATCTGTAGTTGGATTTATGTTGCCCCTGCCATTTAACTTATTGTTCTCGAACTCACTTTCCTTCTGAATATTCCACAACCATGAATTATACTGAAATCACTATAGGTCAAGAAATCTTTTTCTAAAATTTAGAATTATATACACTGAAGACAATTAGGAAAGTTTTATGTGTAGGAATATATTCATGTAACAGAATGTTGACGGGGACTTTTTCTGTTGCGTGAAGACTGAACACAAATACACTACTTTCTAAAGAACGCCTTAATCTGGGGACAAATACGCCCTTCAGTGTTGATGGAGAGACAGTGCTGCTACCCTGAAATCATTACCCGTCATCTGCCCTTTACCCCAACACCCAAGTCCATGAACACTGCAGTGTGTGTGAATGGATGGGCAATGGGGAGGAATGGAAAGACAGAACAAAGTGTCCAAACTGTGTGAGAACGAGTTTGTCAAAATTGAGTTTTATTCTCCAGCTTACCCCTAACATAAATAAAGAGAATTTTAAAGAAAATCACCTCCAAAAGTTGAAGGCACCTACCAAGAAGGAAATAGTTCTTTGAGCAGGGCGAGAGTTGGAAAAAATGTACCAGGGACAACAGCAGGGGCAGGGAAGCGTCCGTTTTCCCATCGTCTCTCAGTGCAAGGACGTTTGTCAAGTAGGCTTCCTTGAAAGCTGGCACTCACAGGCCTGCGACACCCCGAGCAGCAACAATCGGAAACAGTGACAGCCAAAACCAAAAGTCCGGAACCGAGTCACTGTGAATAGGCACAGCCAGCCTCAGTCATAGGCCCTCATTGGTTGGTGCTAAAGGCAGCAACGGACGACCGACAGGTGTCCCTCTCCAGTTCTCTGCACCCCTCTTTGACTCAAACCTGCTCTTCTTCTAAGGACAGCAGTCAGACTGGTTCCCGCCCACCCTAATGGCCTCATTTAACTCAGTCTAATTTCCAAATATAATCACACTGTAAGGTTTTAGGGGTTTCAGCTTCAATGAAGTTTCATAGCCTGTAACAAGTGGCATGGGAGGAAAAAAAGCCATTTTAAACAGCTACAAGCATAATAGGTTGAGGTCATTTGCCATAAACACACAAGGTGGTCCCAAATGGTAAGTGCAGGGTGAGACGGCACCGGTGCTGAAGTGACAGGTAAAGGCTCAAGTGTGCAGTCGGGGCAGCCTCACCACACAGAGGAAGGGGCTCCGAAGAAGGCGAGGCCTTGGGTAGCAGCCACGACTCAAAGCACCACCACAGCATTCAGCTGGAAAAAAGAGAGTACTTCCCTGGGAAAACATCGATGACTATAAATGCATGGTCCTATGATGTAGGGCTCAGGAGTGGGGTGCTTTGGGCAAGCACATACCGAAAGGTCAGCCCTTCTTTCCTGAGACTGGCGCTGCTGACCCCAGGCTGCTTGTCTGTCGGGGGTGGGGGTGGGGGTGGGAAAGACCACTTCCCTTTCTCAGGGGAGGCCAGAGAAGGGACCTGAGCACCAGGCTTCCTTGACTACTTTCAAAGAGAGCCATAACTAAATATCATGTCTCAACGCCTAAAGTATTTGAATAAAGGTAGTTCAACTGAACTGTCATTGCTTAGCTTCGTTTGAAAATGGGACTCTCTTCCTACCTATACCACTAGAAAGTATCTGTGGACCTTTTGAAAAACAAATTCCTCAGTATGGCATAGCATAGTAAAAATCTATTCCTTTTCTGAAGCGAACTAAACCCTTAACAAAGGCCGTTTCTGACTTCACATTTTTAAAGAAAACCTTTAAAGGCTTATTAGGACCCGTATTTAATGAACACAAGTCAGCAAGAGTGTCAGATAGGAGAAGGCACGGCTGTTTTTCCTCGTTTCACGGTGTGAGAGCGCTACAGCCACTGAGATTCTGACGCACCTGCTGTGCCACTCACCCCGCGCACGGCTGCTGGATGCCCCACCACGTGGGCAGAACCACGCCACGCGGCCTCATCTCTCCAAGGCCCCTCCCTTGGCTGGCGCCCTCCCCACGGGCCCCTCCCCTATCCAGCTTCCCCTCCTCTATCTGCACAGCACTGCAACAGGCTGTGGCCGCCAACTCAAAGGGAAGAGGAGGGACCCGGGTTCCTGGGGAAAGGGCATTTACTATCGGGAGGAGATGGAAGTTAAAACACAGAGGACATTCAAAATGACACCTGAATGTCCTGAAAGGCCTGTGATAAAGAATTTAGAAACTGTTTCTTTACATTCCGGTGTAGCATCCCTCTGCGCAGACATCTCTCAGGTCAGGGGGTCCTCTCGGGCAGCAAGTCTCCACAGTGAAAAGGATGCCCTGCACACGGAGAGGAGTCTTGCAGGTTGTAAGCAAGTTGTACCCAGTTCATCCAAGTTCTCCATCTGCTTTGTTATAGTCAAACAAGAAGATGTAAAAACAATGCTAAAACACAGATTCCAATGCACTCAGGATACATCATCAAATAATTTATTTGGAATCAGAATTAAAGAACATCTGATGGTTGCTGAAATGTATGTTTATTCCGGTACTTCTGATCAGTTGCACAACTTATCAAGTGAAAATTACCAGATAAATTTTACATTTCTTCAGGACGGGGGTTTATCGATGACTTCAAATTTGGGATCTAAGAAGAAGGAAAAAAGTTAGCTCAGCCATGCTGCAATGAAATGCCTTATTGAGAAGACTTCACTATTTAATTCATCAATCTTCTGATTGTTTTTAGTGAGTATCGGCTATTTCTAAACATCTGCAGGGAAATGTAACAACTGCCAAAGATTCATTCAGCATTTACTATGAGCCAGGCTATTAACTGACTACATATATCGTTTAATTAAAACAGCCACATGGGAGAGATACAATTCTTCCCTAATGTAGGTAGGAAACAGGTACCAGTTATCTATCTAAGGCCACGATTCCCAAGTGATACTGTCAGAATTCGAGAGCAGGGCGTTTGACTTCAGAGCCTCGTCATTTAACCTCTGTGTTCCATGATCTCCTATACTGATGGCAAACACTCATCCTGGAGGTCCGCACGCACACATCCCTGTCATACTAAATCCATGTCTAATTGACATTTATGCTCTCAAATATCCAAATAAGTACACCGATTTCCTCTTAAAATGATCTCCATGAGAATGAATCCACAACTAAAGAGACTTGCCTTCAAATTTGAAGTCAGGGAAAGCGTTCATGTCTGCTTTTCCGTACATTTGCTTAAGCTTGAACAGCTCCCGCTCCAAATCCTGCTGGTACTCTGGGCCAGTGTCAACAGGGCCTCCGGACGACCTGTAAGCAAGCACGTGAAAACCCATTTTATGCACCAGTTTACAAAACCAAAATCACTTCCTACCCTGAGAGGTTCTGCCATTTTGGAGAAAAAAATAACATGTCCATAAATACTCACACTGTAAGGGAGTTAGGTGATGGCTTCAGAGGCATGGTTTAACAAAAAGCTGCTCCAGTTGAGGAGAGAGCACTTTCGCTAAGCTAATCAGGAAAAAATTTCATTTAAAAAAAGCGGTGTTTGTGATAAATCATGCATTTGGGTCCATTTTAATTTGAGACATTCTCAGACTGAAAAGCAAAGATGCGGAGGAGAGAAAGCGCTGGCTTTATGTGGGACTATATTAAGCAGTTTACATGGAAAGCCAGCAGGACCCAGGTCACGGGAAGCCTGAAATGTTAAGCTTGGGAATTTATATTTTATTTGCTAAGCAATAAAATGTCAAAATTAGAGATGCGCTCTGGGAAAGTAAATATGGCACCATGGACTGGCAACGAGGCCAATTACATTTACTTAATTCTTTGCACAAACTCTTCCGTGTTTGTCATAATGTTACTGCCTGTCAATGAACAACAAACAAAAACATTTATAAGTGAAAATTCTATCAAGGGTAGTATTTTCACACATGCCTATAATAAAGGCATGGGATCTTATGTCACAGAACTTTCACAAAAAATAGAAATAGCTCTTTTTTTTCCTCAAAGACTCCATCCATTTCTAGACAGGAAGAGAGGAAGAACAAGAGGGAGAGAGACATCAATGTGTGGCTGCCTCTAGCCCCCCAAGTGGGGACCTGGCCCACAACGCAGGCATGTTCGAGAATCAAATCAGCAACCCCTTGGTTCACAGGCTGGCACTCAATCCACTGAGCCACACCAGCCAGGGCAGGAAAAAGCTCTAATTTAAGAATGTATTAAAACTTTCTCTGATGATAGAAATGCTCTGTATTTCTGTCTAACATGGTAGCCACTAGCCACTATTAGCACAAGAAATGTGGCTAACTGACTCAGAAACAATTTTTATTTAAGCTTAATTACAATTCATTAGAATTTGAACAGTAGCATGTGAATATTCACTAAATACATACACAATGCAGTTCTTGATGGAGCCTTCAACCACATACTCTGGTGGACTGTTTTCCAGCTCTGGGGTCTACAGGTTTTGGAAACCCCTTTGGGAAGATCCAGCCAGTCTCACCAATAGACTGGTTACTGCTGGGTGGAGGCTGTTACAACTTTAATGTGTACGCTTGTGATATAAAGGGGCCACACATACTGTAACTCCTCAACTGACTGTAAGACGCCCAGCCTGTCTTGCTGTAGATGGCGACAAGGTTAAAGCAGAAATTCAAGGGAGATTTATTTATTTCACTTAAAAAGAAAACACCAGGCATGCTAATTTATTGACCCACTTGCTCTTTCAAACATCCTGTGATACAGTTATTATCATCCCCATCTTACAATGAGGAACCTGAGGCACAGAGGTTAAATACCCTGCCCAAGGTCACGGAGCTAGTAAGTGGCAGAGCTGGATCCCAGCCCGGCACGCATGCTCAGAGCACTGTACACTGTCGTCTGCACAGACAAATGGACCAGACTCCTTAGGTTCAGACTGTACCTAAGCACTGACTTCTTACTGGACAAGCTTTTAAGGACAGTTACAGAGCAAAGAGTGTTAATACTACGATGCCACAATACCTCCGCACAGAAGACACTCCAGTTCCCCGCCACCCTGTACACCTGCTTACTAAGCAGTGTGATTTTAGGCAAATTCTAAATTTTTAGCCTTAGCATTCTCATATATGAAATGGGGACACCATGAACAAGGCTGTGCATTTCTAATATTGCCTTCATTGTAATCCCTTCACCCTCTTCCTCCTCAGTCCCAGTAACAACAAGCCCTGTTAGTGGCCCAGTCTCAAACCTGGCAGTGTTCTGACCCATCACTTTTATACTCCCACTGCCGTAAAGACAAGATTCTCATCAACCCATGCTTAGATCGTAACATTTTTCTTTTTTTAAGATTTTATTTACTTATTTTCTTAGAGAGAGGGGAAGGGAGGGAGAAAGAAGAAGAGAAACACTGATCTGTTGCCTCTCGCACGTTGCCATCTGGGGCCCTGGACCACAACCGAGGCATGTGCCCTGACCGGGAATTGAACAGGCGACCTTTCAGTCTGAAGGCCGGCACTCAGACCACTGAGCCACACCAGTCAGGGCATATTATTACATTTTTCTAACACATCTATCTTCCTTTTTTTATTATCCCAATTTCCCTAATACACCATGATTAAAATTATCTTCCTAATACAGAGCAATCTTGTTCCACCACACCATCCTGCTTAAACAACTTTTATTTCTCATAAATGCCTTTCATGTAATATTTTAATTGTCCAGTCTATAATCTTCAACAATCTCTCACTCTAACCCATTCTACCCTTACTGCTGCTCCCTACGCTCTTCATACCCTGCAGTCTTGGAATGTAGCATCACAGAATTTCCTAAATATGCTTTCTAGTTTTCATACCTTAGCTCACACCACTCTTTCCCCCTAGAAGACATCCTCCCCCATCCCCATCCATCTGTCCACTCTTCACGCCAGTGGTTCATAACCTCAGGGAGACCCCTGCTGGGAGTGTCTCTTAATGGCCTTCTGTGGGTCTGAGAACCCTTTCACGCTATATAAGGAAAATCATGTGAGTAAATTCCTCACTTTTTTTTCAAGTGGGAAGATTACACATAGCTGACCATGACATTCTCAGGAGGGATGGATGACCTCCAACACTGCCTTCAAATCCCAGATAAAACCTTCACTTTTCTAAAACACTTTCTAAAATGCCTCTAGCTGGAAAGAAGTGTAACTTTCCTGTGAACTCCCCAAACACTGAATGCCACTGCTCAATCAACATCTAATCCATCTTACTTTATAGTGTATCTGTTTACAAACTCTCTACCCTTAGCAGATATTAAGAATATTGTGTAAATGCAGTGTGGTTTCTTTCTTTGTAGCCCATCACAATTTATGGCTCACTGCTTTGCACATGGCAGACAACTAAATAACTTCTTTTAAAAGTGGAAGCAGGACCTGGCTGGTGTGGCTCAGTGGACTTGAGTGCCGGCCTGTGCCAAAGGGTCACCAGTTTGATTCCCGATGGGGGCACATGCCTGGGCTGTGGGTCGGGTCCCCAGTTCAGGGGTGCACAAGAGGCAACCACGCATTGCTGTCTCTTCCCTTCTCTTTCTCCCTCCCTTCCCCTCTCTCTAGAAATAAGTAAAATATTTTTAAAAAATGGAACTGGGAACCGAGGTATTCCACTTTCCCAAAGATCTGTGGGTTGAACTTGTTGATGACTAAGGTCATCATTCATCTCCAGAACTGTGGGGTACTGTAATCATGTTTTTCCTGGACTTGCTTTATACCATTTCAGAGTCTTCTGTCTTTTGATATTCCCAGAAATACGTAAGAATAAAAAATTTTTTTAAATGCTGTTTATATGTTTCCCTGAAATCATGATGTAAGGATCAACAATGATAGTAAAACTGAATAACTATAACAATGTATTTTGACAAAAGTTCTGTGATGTGATCTCTCTGATAACTGGTGCAATACTGAAGATGGCCATGAAGAGACTACACGGCAGGCAGCGAATCCAGCACAGACACACGAAACAAAGAGGTGATTCACATCCCCGGCCGGACAGAGCAGGGCAGTGAGAGATTTCTTCACGCTACTCAGAATGACATGCAGTTTAAAACTTATGAATTATTTCTGGAATTTTCCATCTAATATTTTTGGACCCTGGTTGACCATAGGTAACTGAACACCCAGAAAGTAGTTCCCCTTTATCTGTGATTCCCCTTTACTGTATAGTTCCTTAATGATTTCCGAGATCCTGCGTACTTCTACAAATTGACTCTAGTTTATACCAAATGACTTTAGAATAAGGACGTATCTAAAGTAACAATAAAGGTAATGGGATTCTCCCTTGGAACCCACGTAAAAAAATACAAATTTGGGACTGGATCTTGTCTCCTCCTTTTGACATACTAATGAACCTCTATGCCAGGGATCAGCTGAGGGAAGGTCTTAGACACTTTGAAACACCTCCAAACTTACATACTTTGATTATTTATATTTACATCATGGTTGATTATCTACCCACTTACTGTCGCTTAGTTTTGTATTCTCTAATCTTGTCCACGAAGAGTTTCTGTACAGGATCGAGTTCCTTAAATGCCACTGCTGTCACACCAATATTCCTCCTCAAATAGACTGAGACTGCAGACTGAACGGCCGAGGACAACCTGAAGAGCCTCTGAAGAATCATGGTGACTCTGTGACTGAAAAGAAGCGCTACAATGTTAATACACTTTCCTATGCATACGACTGTGAAATACCCATAAATATATCGTACAGTGGGAATCTAATGCTCTTCACTGCTACGGGACTTAAAGCACACCTGACCCCACTGCAGCCCCCCCTCGCCCACTGCAAGTTTTACTACTTAACCAAAGGCCCTGCTACCTAGAAGCAGTTAGGAACTCAGGCCTGCTGCAGCCCCACCAGTCACATGCAGAAAGAGCACGGCACTTGGCGTGGGTGTTTCTTCTCCATGAACATAGACTTGGATCAGGGGAAAGTCAGCGAGGATGTTAGAAAACTGCCCGCACCTAGTAGGGAAAAACAACCCTGACCCTTTAAAGCAGAGCTGGGCAGGGACACTAGAGACAGTTGCCCCAGTCAGAACTGACAACCTGGAAGTTTCTACCTCACAGACCCACAAAGGAAGAAACTGCTCTCCCCATCACAGCTACAAATCAAAGTCCAAAAGAACCAGCAGGGAAACCTTCCAACAAAAGAGACAAAACCATGCAGTACATCTTAATTAACGAGTTAGAATTTGCAAAGGAGATGAAAGTCTGGTTTTTAAAAATAAGGACTTAAAGACTTCCAAATCCCTAGACTTGTTGAAGCTAAGAGACATAATTTTCTAAGTAAAAACTTCAATAGATAAATTAGGGAATGATCTCAGTTGAGACCTCATTTAGTGTCTTGAAAGACCAAATGCAAAAAATAAAAAAATCCAAACTATGACAAATATATGAAAGCAGGAATTCCAAAAGAAAATAGATAAGGAGGCCATATGTAGTTAGGAGAAACTCCCTCAGATTAAGAAAGGGTGATTCTACTACAGTGAAAGGCTTACCAGACAGTGTTAGACTGATGACAAGAGCCACACCTCAATACAGCCTGGCAAAATTTCTGAACCTTAAAGATAAAGGGAAAACCTGACATGCTAACGCTAACAGGATTCCTCCCCCTGCAAGTTACCTAATAATAACAATAACAATAGTCACCATCACCCTGACAATGGACCCCATTAAGTTATACCACTGCTGTTCAAAGCCTGGCCTGTGGACCAGTGGTAGTATATACAAACTGTCACTGGTCTAGAGTTAATACGAAAACCGGGAATAAGCATTTAGAAACTTTTAAGCAATTTGGCATATTAACTTACACCTGCTGAACTTTATTAAAAAAATTCATGTTTGTATTTTGTATGGCTTCATTATTTTATCTTTCATATAATTTTTCTGGTAATTCATTTGTATTGTATTCTTCAAAAGTATCCACAAAGGTTGGGGTGGGGAGTCCTGTACCACCGAGTGTTTGAGAAGCACTAACCCATGGGAGAGCAGAGCAGCACAGTTCTCGACTAGGGGTGGGGTATCTGGCAATGTCTAGAGACATTTTTGGTTGTCCCTAACGGAGTGTCACCGGCATCTGGTGGGTAAAGGTCAGGCATGCCGCCAAACATCCCGTAGTGACAACAGCCTCCCCACAACAAAGAACTGTCTGGTCCAAAATATCAATAGTAACAAGGTGGAGAAACCCTGAAACGGCATATAAAAACTACAAAAAGGAATTATACAATCAACAAAATATCCTTCCCCTGCCAGGATGAAAACAAACTATTTGAAGAAATTAAAGAATTCATCATATACCACTCTTGTACCACATCAGAGAAAAATACATGAGAAAAGACTTCAAGCAAACAACAAATGACCTTAAGCTGCTACTTATTACCATTCCCATTTTACATATACAGAAACTGAGGTTTAGAGGTTAAGTCCCTAGCCCAAGGGAGAATCTGAGTGGACACAAACATATTTTTTAAATCATGCAACTCAATGTGTATATATATTTCTTTCTGGCAATTTAAGGACATGCTTAACACTCAGCAATAAGGATATCTAATGTTTGTTCAGCCCTAGGTATTTCGCAAAGTACTTTCATACACAAGGTGTGTCCAGAAAAAGTCCAGCCATTATTAATATAACAAGAATGGTTTGCACATCTATGTAATATGGTAGCCAAGGAGGGTGGACTGGAATGTGCGCGCGTGAACAATGACAATTTCACTGTACTAGTTAGTGGGGGTGGTAAACACTATTGAGAGAGCAAGTGTACTGTGTGGCCCTCACATTCAAAATGACTGAGCAAGTAAAGCAACAAATCTGCATCAAATTTTGCATTAAACTTCAACATTCCTCCATGGAAACCATTTCGATGATTCAGAAGGCTGCACCTATGGGCAACTGCTGACTGGCAGCTTCATCACAACAATGCACCTGCTTATGCACATCTCATGTGGAGTTTTTTGGTGAAACATCAAATCATCCAGGTGACTCTGACCCACTACAGCCCAGATTTGGCACCCTGAGACTTCTGGCCTTTCTCAAAACTAAAATCACCTTTGAAAGGGAAGATATTTCAGACCATTGATGAGATTCAGAAAAATATGAAGGGGCAGCTGATGGCAACTGAGAGAACTGTGTGAGGTCCCAAGGTGCCTACTTTGAAGGGGAATGAGACACCATTGTCCTGTGTACAATGTTTCTTGGATCTTCTTCAATAAGTCTATTTTTCATATGATATGGCTGGATACCTTCTGGACTGACCTCATAGAGTCTCTCCTAGTACCCTTATGGCACTCCCCATGGAGTGCAGAACTAAAGCAAGCTCTGCTCTCCCATGGGCTTGCTCTTACCTTGTTGTTACAGGTAATAAAGCTATGTCTAAGGAAGGTTATTAAATTGCTCATAGTCCCATGGTTAATTTGCTCTGACTGTAAAAATCATCTTATCCCTATGGCAACATGAGTGAAATCCATTTTCCTTTTTTCGATTTCTATCATCTAAGTACTAATTATTCCCAAAACACATCTCTAATTTTATTCTTTTTTCTGAAATCCTAACTTATACATTCAACAGCTCACACCCCTTCATAAGTCTTTTAGGGCTCTCAAATTCAACTTGTTTAAAAAATGAACACATAATCTTTCAAAACAGGTGTTTTTTATCCCCCTTTTCATTTTTTACCATTGATTAAATATATAGTGAGTGTGGGCTGTCCAGTGGCTGGCTGAAGACACCCTATTACACAAACAGGTGTCAAAATACCAATTGTGATGCGTTCTCTATTCCAGTACTATGGACTGTCACAAGAGCCTGTAATAGAGATTTGACATAGAAAAGATTGGGGAAGGCAACAAGAAAAGGGTAGAGCAAGCGCAGAAGCAGCATGTTTCTCCTGTTTACATTGATGACTGACCAGCCAATAGGTCAGTCCTTTCGCTGCCTCTTCAAAGCATATCCTTTCAGTCAATTCACAATCTTCCTGACCCTCTTTCCCTCCTGGAAACTGTTCGCACGTGCACTCTGGCCTCTCCGCTAATTCAAGCACCTCCTCCGCCCCACGCAGCGTCTGGTTCCTTAGGACTGTTGAGATGCAGGGTTGTGCAAGGAAAGTAAGTGTAGAACACTTCTGCCTAACCATGTTTTAACACTACCAACATTTTTAAGTGGGCTGAAAATTTTTAAGTTGGCTATCCCTTTTGCTTCTTATAGGGCATGTTCTGTTTTAAATAGTTCAGAACAATTCCCCGCACTCCCAATTGGACAGGCCTGGCTGCAGACCTGCCACACGAGCATGACCTTGGGCTGCCCCAGCCCGATTGCGGGCCCACGAAACTCCCGCGTCCCCGCAATCCACACCACCCCCGCTTGTCCTCAGAGCGGGTGTTACTAACAAGGCAATACATAGGGAGCCAAGGGCAAACCTCAATAAGGCCTAAACACGCTGAGATCTGCAGTGACCTGGGGCCAGGCCGTGAAGGTGCCTGGGCAAGAGAACTGAGTTCTCATGAAGGACAGAGGTAATAGAAAGTTTAACCCCGTGAACAAATTGTGAATCGGCGTTCCAACAGGCCAAGCAAGTCCAGCTACCCTCCCGATCACCTTGCACTCAGTCCGGAGCTGCCACGGCCACCACAGCCTCCACCGCCGCCACAATTCTACTTCCGGCCTTGGCCCCGCCCCACCCGCCATCGCAATGCATTATGGGCTGCCGTTTCAGTCGGTCGGCACACACCGGACAGGAAGCGTCTCGGAGACAGTCCGCGACCGGACAGCTCTAGGTGAGGTAGAAGGCAAATAAGAGGAAGTAGAGGGTAAGTGCTTCCGGGTCCCCTAGCGAGTCCTCCGCCATCTTTTGTACTCCAATTTTGATCTCTTTTTCGTTTTGGAAACCTTTCAGTGTACGCATGCGCACTTGGACAGGCCTTTCCCTTAGTTCAGTCCCTCCCTCCCCAAGTCAGCAGTCCTGTTCCTAGGGTTGTTGAGGTGTATGAACGTACCGACAAAGTGACGAGAGTGTAAAACAAAGCGGGCTGGGGCATTGTGCTCCCTTGTGCCTCGGGAGCCTCCGTTGTCTCGGGCGTTCGTTTCGCGAAACCTGCTGGGAGTTGTAGTCCTGGACCCGAGGATGCCTGGGAGGCGGGAGGGGGGTTGGAGTTTCTAAGCGCCGATTCCGCGGGAAGGGCCCAGGGGCCTCACACTTCAAGTCGCGGGAGCTGCAGGTTTTACCGGGGAGACGCTGCACGTGGAGCTCGTACCACTGCCGTTCTCTGCCGGCTCTGGAGCGCGGGCGGGGCGACCGGGTCGATTCCGGAGCGGGTGAGTGTGGCCGCGGAGAGGAGGGGAGCGCGGGCCCGCGCGGGTCGGCTTCGTTCCGGGGCCTTCTCCCCAAAGCGGCCCCCCCGCGGCCGCTTCTGTGTTTTGTTTCCGCTGGTCCCCGGCGCTGTGACTCCCATTTCCGTTCGTGGAGACTTGAGGGAGCCGGGTGGGGAGGGGCGGGGAGGCAGTGCGGGGAGGGGAGAGGAGGGGCTGGGGGCGCGCGGCGCTGGGCTCTGGGCAGCCGCGCGCCCTCGGGACCCGGGCCGTTCCTGTCACCTTTTGCCTCTCTTTTCCCTCACTGTTCCCTCGTCGACTGTCCGCCTTGGTCCTTAGTGTCCCCGCTCAGGATGTGATCCTGACGCTCCGGGATTTCGAAGGACAATGTAAAACTAGTCTCGCCGTCTCAGCGTTTCGCTCTCACTTCAAATCCAGTTGTTTTTTTCTAGAATTGCCCCATAGTTGCATCACAGTCATTTATTAGTGTATATAGAGTCCATTGGTTTATTTTTAAAGGGAGGCATTAAGACAAGGGGGAAACGATGTGTTAATACTGTTTGCCAACTTTTTAAGTTTGTTGTGTGCTGGGAGATAAGCTGCTTTCGCGTGTTGGTATTTAGGGATCCTAGTTTGATTAGGTTAACGGCAGGGAAGACTGCCTCGTACTGCATTACAAGATAATGAGTCGTGATTTAGAAATATGCGCAGTGAGTCTGGCCCGTGGGAGGAGCATTTAGAAGGGCTCACTGGAGCAAAGTGGAGAACTGGGCAGTGATAACGTTGTTAGTTCTGTGTTACCCTAAGCATCGGAAGAAACAGATCAGCTCTTTGCATACTACGTAAAGGGAATACCCCTCTCTGAGTTTGATCCAAACTTTCCAAGCTTATGTATTTTCAGACTGACTCTGACACTAGGTAGACTTAAGTCAGTTTAACAGGATTATGTGTTACGAGGGATACATAGTGTTGATGAAAATAAATAGCTAGAGGCTACTCGTAAATACATGTGGGGTCTGAATACAACATTACAACTATTTACTTATTTCCCTCCAACTTTTATATATAAAACTTCAAATCTATAAGAAAGTAGGAAAATTAAACAATAAAATTATACAGTGAACACCTTCACTCCGTAGGAGGGAAGTTAATCTCTCAACACTTGCTTCCCCCGCCCCCCCCCACGCACAAATACATGTATTTTACCGTTTTCTTAACTCTTGACTTTATTTTCAAAAGCAAAAATGTTTTTTTTTCTTCTGGTATTTAAACCTTTTTTTTCTAGTTTGAGAAAATGTGCAGTCAGTCAGGTAGGTACTCCCAGATTGTACTTAACATATTTTACTAATTACATATTTTACATAGTATTTAATATATATTTTTAAAGATAGATTTATATTACATGTAAATGTTGGGAAAAATTGTCCTAAACTAAACTAATAATGTGTTCCAACAAAAAAGAAAATCCTCAAGATTAACTGTGACTCCAAAAGAGAATATTAAATATAACTATTTTAAGGAACATTCATCTTTTCTAGACTTTTAAGTTTAGTTTTTATCTCTTTTGTGAAGCTTTCTGAACCCCAGGTTAGATTGAATCTAAAGAAACCAGGGTGTCCAGACCAGCCCTTTGATGGAAAGGCTCCAATCAATGTTGTCTTTTCCATTTGAAGTTTTGAGAAAGAATCCTGGTTCCAGAAAAAGAGCTAAAATCCACTCAAGCAGTAATATCAAAGATTTGGCAGTTTCCCAAATCTCTCTCTTGCTTTCAAGGCTAAATTTAAAGCACTGAGAGAGAAAGAGAAAGGGATCGATTTAGAGTCTACGACTATTTTTTCTAAAGTATTTAGGGTTCTTTATCTGGTACCTTCCAGGGACTGATTATAACTTTTGGGGAAGATGACAGGACGCATTTCTTTTTAACAACTACCTGTTTTAGTGCTTATGTTATGGGGAACTGCAGATAACCTCTGGGCCATTTCTCAGCCTCTGCTTAGTTCCTCATACGCTTTTTTATATTTTCCAAAATTCTGAGAAAATTCACTTGTTTTCTGATTTTTTTTTAAAATTTGTTATGGAGCGCAGAGTACACCTCCTATAGGCCCTGAAAATAAAACATAAATGTTTTTTAAAGTTCTGTTTTGCTGTAAACCTTACTGTTTCTCACTTTTTTTTAGTATACAACAGTTTTTATGATTTTGTGTGTGTGCGTATACATTACTTCCTTGTTTTTAACTTCTGCTAAAGTTCCATGGTATGTGCTTCCTTCACGTTTTCTTGTATGGCAGTGCTTTCCTGCCACAGATACTTTTCCATGGGCTCCAGCTTCCAACTCTCACCAACAGAGCTTCTCTTAACATCCCTACCCATCAATATGAGACTCTCTCAGGAATGCTGATCCAAGGGCAAGACTGCCTGGTCATAGGTATAAGCATCCTTGATTTGAGCAAGTGCTACCAGGTTTTTCTCCAGAATAACCCGACGTGTCTGTTTTCTATCAACAGAGGCAGAGGACTCTTATGTCCCCATGTCCCTGCTAATTCTTTTCAGTATTCATCATTCTTATTTTCCACCTACATGTGGTATCAAGTGGAAGCTCCTTATTTTGCATTGCATTTTTGAATGATTTGAATCTGAAGATATCTTCATATCCTTAGCCATTTTGGTTTTTAGTTTTGTGTATTTCCTTCTGCAGTGCTTTACCTGCCTTTCTATTTTATCCTGCCTTTTGAGGGGGTTGTTACCAGTTTGCAGTAGTTTACTGCCTATTCTAGTTATTATTTTCTTGTCACTTAGATATTGGAAATATCTTTCTTCACTCTGTAGCCTATCTGTTGAATATACTTATATATGGTGTGTAATAGTTCTTACAGTATTTGTTTTCTCAACACAGTTTGATAGAGTGCCTACTAAGGGTGAGGCACTTTTCAAAATATTTTGTGTACATTTATAAACAAACAAATATCCCTTTAACCGGATAGACCTGATGTTGTCCTATAGGACACCACCTGTTTTTCTATAGTGCTCAGGATGAATTCCAGTTTTACACTTAGTGTCTTCAGGAATACACTTCACTGGGGAAAGAAAAGACTTACTAGGCCAGGGTCAGAGAAAAGAAAAGTCTTTCATTCTCTCATTATCCCAAACAAAAGTCTGCTGGACATGCATGATGTATATTCTAGTGCAGAACCTCACCCTCTTCCTTCTTATAGGGGACATGTAAGAATAACCTTAACAATGTGGGGAAACTCAGACCATTTTTGCACCAGGCCATCTAGATTTGGGTGCCAGCTAATTGTGGACTAAGTTGTCAGAAAACCAGCTTCCCAGTAGTTGGAGGTGTTGAGACCTAGGGAGAGAGATACAGCCCTTTCTGAAGTGGAAGACAGTATTACTTTCCTGGTGCTACAGTAATGAATTACTACAATAAAGTGCAAATTGATAACTATTTTGTTACTTTATTCTCCTATTTTAGAATATTATACTGGTACTTACAAAATACTGTAATTCGTAACACAAATCATAGCTAAGATTAACCTTAATTTTATATCATTCTATCAGTACAATGCTAATAAAGTACATTACTTATTTTAATAGAGTACACCTTTTAGCTGAACAATTGTGGTTCAGCTCCATGTTGATTTTTTAAGCTGTAGGTTTGAATCTTACTGAAATTGCTATACTAATAGTTGACATAACCTTTCACTTGATTTTGAAGTAAGTTGAGTTAATTTACTAAAATTGGCTGAAAAGAAATCCAGATAAGTCCAATAGAATGATGAAGGACTCATGTCAGACTAGTAAGCACAATCTAACAAAAACTATGGTTTATCAGTATCATTTGTGGATTTTCTTTTATTGTGAAGATTACTTCCTCCTCTTCTACTTGCTCTCTGCTTTTATTTGAATTGAGTCTCTACTTGTTTAGCATTTGTTGTGCAGATAATTTAAAAATGTCTTAAAATTTAACTCTTACAGGGCTGAGCTGTTGAAATACTTCAACCATGACAAAAAGAGAAGCGGAAGAGCTAATCGAAATTGAGATTGATGGAACAGAGAAGACAGAGTGCACAGAAGAAAGGTTGGTGTTACCTGAGTTTACCACCTTTTATATTATCGGCATACCTAATGAAAATTAAGAATGACACCAAAGTTCTTTTGGGCCCTTTGTTTTTTCAACTGAAGTTAGCACTTGGAGGGGATAATGTATTGTTTTTTTCTTCTGACTTAATGAATTTGTAACTAAAGATAGTTAAATGCATAGCTAGCGATTATCAAGCAGTTGATTGTGATGGTTTTTTATCCTGTAGGACCCTGTTTGATTCTTTTGTCTTTCACCAATGCTGGTAACTTTTATTTTCTAAAGAGTTTAATCCACAACACGAGCTATTTAACAGATATTTGTAAGTAACTGCTGTGAATTGTCAGGAGTGTATGTGAGGCAGTTATGTGCTCTCATAGAGGCCACAGTGTATTTGAGGAGGCATACAGGTGGGAGCAATGATGTGCACAGCACAAAGCCTGCATCGTAGTGAAAGATGTTCTTGGAAGGAGCGCAGTGTTTGTAAGTTCAGAATCCAAGAGGAGAATATGGGTAAAAACAGGTTTGGGAATCAAGAAGAAGGTTAAGGAAGATCAAGATTAATGTTCCTACTTTACCCTGTAAATCAGGAGATGAGCTAATCTGCTGAGAGTAAAACGAACCGAAGAGTAGTAGAGGGCTTCTGTATAGTAATAAAGTTTAGAACAACTTCAGTGTGAATGGACCAAATTACTAAGGTTGTATGGGATGCTGAGTGTTGAGAGTGTAGCTGAGGTTTAGGACCTTAATTCTTTTAAAGTTTTGTTTTATTGTGGTAAGAACACTTCATACGACATCTACCCTCAACAAATTTTTGAGTGCCCCATACTGCATCATTAACAGTAAGCACAATGTTCTACAACTGATCTCCAGAACTCACTCATCTGTCAAAATCGGGATTTATACCAGTTGTTTCGCAGCTCCCCGTGTTTTCTGCCAGCAGGCTGTGGTTACTCGTGCTACCGCCTCTTCTCAGAGGAGAGGGCTGGCTCTACCTGGTAAGACAAACCCTATTTTAGTTGTCTTCAGTCCTGTCCTCTGCCACCATGCCTTGGCACGGGAATATTTTCCTGACAAAAGGTCATGACTGCTTGAGAGACCTTAAATTTTTGATGGAGGGTTTCAGAATGTTTGACTATGCTGTTTTCCCCAGGAGAAGAGACAATAGAGACTATACCTCTCTCTTAATTTTCATATGTGTGTATGTATACACTCATTCATTCATTCATTCATGTAACAGATTACCCCAGAACTTAGTTCTGGCTCAGGGCGTTCTGTGAGCTCTCAGTTAAGCTGTCAGTCTGAGCTGTCCTCATCTGAAGAGTCGACTGGGGCTAGCACATCTGTTTCCAAGGTCACTCAGGATGCTGGTGGCAGGACAGTTCACTTCACCACATGGGCTTCCCTGTAGGGCTGCTCCTGACATGGCAGCTGGCCTCCCCAAGAGCAAATGTCCGGTGAGAGCGTGCTCACCAGAATGGAAGCCGTGGTGTTGTTCTATGTAACCTAATTTGAGAAGCAGCATGTCACATCTGTCGTAGTCTTTTGGTCACACAGTCCAACCTTGGTAGAATGTGGCAGGAACACTAAAAGGATATGAGGACAATCGAGCTTCTTGGAGCCTGACATATACATATTTATTTTTATATATATATACACACGTGCGTGCGCGCGCACACACACACACACACACACAGATGGTCCACAAAGCTTCGAGTTTCTCCTGTTTGTCCCTTTACAGAAAAACTTTGCCATACCCCCTGTCTCCAGTAAGAGGCTGTGTGAAGGGAACGGGTTAGTCAGCCGTAGCAGATGGTTGCTGTGTAGGAATTTAGGTCCAGTGATGGGATCATCCAGCCTTTTTCAAGAGAACCCGGTGATTCAGATTTTTGTATAAACTCTCCCAAGGTTTAAATGGTGGCAGCAAAATATTCTTATATGTTTTAAATGTTGAGCTTATGTAAAAATGTGTCATCTAATTTTTTAACAAAGAATCATTGTTACAAAAAATATGTATAACCCATGGGGCTACAGCTAAAGAATTTAATAAAAGTACTTAGCCAAAAGACCCAATTATTTTATCCTAACTAATGATACTAATAGTTTATAATGATTTAAAAATGATATGTTTTCAATCAGGAGTGGTCTGTTTTGTAAATTTCAGAAGTTTTGGAAGGACTTTAGGCAATACATATTCATTGAGTGTCATGTACATCGCATTATACTTGAAATTTATGTGAAAATGCAAGTTGACAAATTGTTAACTACATACTGTTTTTGACAACTACAAATGAGATTTAAATCATATTTAAATTAAACATGTTGTGAAACTTGAATTCCAGATTTGCCAATTCAGCAAATATTACTTGTTGTCTGTCTTCTATTTGTCCCCAAATGAGGATTTACCAAGGATATGTAGATTTATTTACCCAGGATTTTACCTTTAAGGAATTTACAGTTCCTTAGAATTTAAAGTATGAAATAATAATATAGGAGAGCCCTACGAGAGTTTTAAAGGAAGAATTTTTTTAATGCGGAACTATGCTGATTACAACCAGTAGTTTTCAGATTAAAATAAGTGGAAAGTATTTTATAACTTGTATTTTCATATCTTATAACTTACATTCATTTAATTGTATTTATGTTGGGAAGGGAAATTGCCTACATATGTGTTTATGTTTATATATGGGGGTGGGAGATTTGCAGCAGTGCTTTAACTGCTAGCGTTTCTTTGTGCAGTTTAGTGTGCAGTTCGGCAGCACTAACTGGTAATGAGTCTGCTACTGTGAATGGTGTGTCTGTGCAGAAATGAGTTTCAAAGACCAGACATATGTTTTCTGGTATTCAATTTTGGTTTGAGCATATTGTTACTTTAGTTTTCAGAGTAAAATGGAGTTGTTAACCATTATATCCTTTAACATTTAGCATTGTAGAACAAACCTACACCCCAGCTGAATGTGTAAGCCAGGCCATAGACATCAATGAGCCAATAGGCAATTTAAAGAAACTACTAGAACCAAGACTACAGTGTTCTTTGGATGCTCATGAAATCTGCCTACAAGATATCCAGGTAACCTTTTTTTTTTTTTTTTTTTTGAGATTTAAGTTTTAGCATTTAAGTCTGCATTAGAAGTATTCTGTTGTTGTCATTGGCCTGTAATCTCTATAGCTGTCAGTCTGAGCTGTCCTCATCTGAAGAGTTGACTGGGGCTAGCACGTCTGTTTCCAAGGTCACTCACGATGCTGGTGGCAGGACCGTTCACTTCACCACATGGGCTTCTCTGTAGGGCTGCTCCTGACATGGCAGCTGGCCTCCCCTAAAGCAATATAGTTATCTGTAACTGTATTTGATTGGTGTCATTGTAAAGTTTAAGCAATTAGACACAAAGAGACTTTTTTTGGCAAAATTTTCTTCATTTAAAATTATTTAAGGGTGGGCTGGGATGGGAGTAAAAGACAGAAAACCCTACGTGAACAACAATTAAAATAACATTTAAAAATGAAAAATTATATTTAAGAAATTGAATACTAAATCAAACATTTTTTTACTCTCACAAATATAAAATGGAAAGTTTAAATCTAGATTAGAGCTAAACAGTAGTGGGAAGCACATTGATTTTGGAAGCTAAAGAAGTGTGTACTCCTCACCTTGTTTGTAACTAGCTTTTAATTTATTTATGCATTATTTTTCTCATCTTTAAAATGAGACAATTTTACCAAATGATTTTTACATTACCTTTCAGCAGTAAATTTCAGACAAGAATTTCATTTTCCAGTGATTACATTTCTTGGAGTTGATTGCAATAGGATTTTACCAGTGGCGGTATTATAGCAATATATTATGTTCACGGCATATTTTAGTACATAAAAGGTAGTAGCCTAGATAGGATTGCTCAGGCAGTTTCTACAGACTTCCCTTGATTATATGCTAGAATTTTATACTGGTTTTATCTTTTAACTTCTGTTTTTTATTGTTGACACTATTACAGGTGGCCCCCCATTTTCTCCTATACTGTTTGTAATACTAACTTATACTAATCTTTTGGATTGTTTGGTTTATCTTACTCTTTATTTTTCTCCTCCTCATATGTATTATAGAACTTTTACTTTCATTTTTTTTTAATATTTAATTAATTTATTTTTTGAGAGAGGGGAAGGGAAGGAGAAAGAGTGGGAGAGAAATATCAATGTATGGTTGCCTCTCATGTGTCCCCTGCTGGGAACTGGCCTGCAACCCAGGCATGTGCCCTGACTGGGAATTGAACCGCGATACTCTGGTTCGCAGGCCCGCGCTCAATCCACTGAGCTACGCCAGCCAGGGCCTACTTTCATTTTTTAAAAATTAAAATCATATGCCTACTATTTTGAAACAAAAATTTTTAAAAAGATTTTATCACTGTTAGAGGGAAAGGAAGGGAGAGAAGCATCAACATGCAAGAGATGTATCAATCAGTTGCCTCTTGCACGCCCCCAACTGGGGACCTGGCCCGCTACTCAGGCATGGGTCCTGATTGGGAACTGAACTGGCAGCCTTTCAGTTTATAGATCAGCCCTCAATCCACCGATCCACACCAACCAGGGCTGAAACAAGGTTTGATGTACAATAAGTTGAAATTTTCACCTCTGTGAACAAAGGTATACATATAAGATGCTCATTGCATGGTTATGCAGACACTGAAAATAACTCAAATGTTCCAAAAATGGGGGATTAGATAAACAAGTCCTGCGGATTGGAATTCAAGGCAGCCGCTAGAAACTTGTGAAGTAGCGCGGGCCCGGGGGTTGGTGGTCACATCACTCTGTGTCAGCATGTTCTCAATCATACTTCGCAGGCGCAGAAACTGGTGTTTAAAAGGGTTAAATCGTTTCCCAGTGTTTAGCTGCTATACAGGAGCACAGTGGAATTTGAACCCAGACCTCTGTGACTTCAAAACACTTCAGTTGTTTGAGGCAGACTTTTAAGAAAGTTTGTATTGAATAACTCAGTGTCATTTACCTAATTGTTCTCATATCTAAGATAAAGGGGAATCCGACTTGGTATCTTGTCTCTCAGCTTTAACATTTGTTGCTGCTCTTATGGAACTTGGTCTAACCAGATTGAAAATGTGACCTGTAAAGTACCCAACCTGTCATAGATTTTCAAAAACTATTTGTTGATTAAATGGAAACAAGCGTAGTTTGTAGTGTTACAGAATTTAGAGCCAGCCTTGGATCTAAGGCATTTTGCACTGGTCCTTCACCCCAGCCCTCTCAAAAAGGTTATGAATAGCAGCTTCTGTTCTCCATGTCAGTTAACGCAAATAGACATTTGGAGTCAGAATACTTGCTGCTTGTGGTACAGCTTTTTTATTTTCAGGCGGATGTTGACTTCAAAGCTGAAGGAACAGCTGAGTTGCATTGTTTGAGGAGTATTACCCGAGATCAAATGCCATGCTTGAGTTTTATCCTTGTTCCGGGCGTACTGCGGGCGTACTGCACTAATTAGTATATTCAGTACCTGAGAGCTCAGTTTCAGAGTTGCACATGCCATCACTTCAAGTGGATGATATCAGTGTCTACTAGGCAGGGAGAGATCTTGATATTAGGAGAATTTTTAACGAAGTGTCAGGCAGAGATTTATATTGAGTGAAACTGCCAAGTTTGACCTCTATGTTTGCAGGGTTACACAGTTTGTCTTGTCCCTGATTAAGTTAAATGTATAGTCACTTAGAGTTTTAGGCTTTACACAGACAACATTTTTAATGTTTAGGAAATCTGTTTGTATGATAACTACAGTGTTGACTAAACTCTTGGGAATGAGAGTGGGGGAGATTTGTACCTCCAGCTGTATGACATCCAGACACATAGAGCTCTTAATTTTTCAAGATAATTATAGTGGAAGCCTATTTTAAACTAACGACAGAAAATATCTGAAAGTCAGAATTACTTTTTGTCATTGGTTTGTCATTGTGTGAAATGCATTTATGATAAGGCAATAGGAAGGGGGAGAAGCACTGATTTAAAGGATATAGAATTATAATTAAAAGTGTTCTTATCTAGGTCAGGTAGTTAACTCATTAGTTTCTTATTAATTTTGTGATCATAGATTTAGCATTAACTGTGATCTTAAATGTGTGTAATTGGTTACAAGGGAGATACAGCAAATATTACATTAATTTATTTAAATTGTCTCCACTAATTAAACACCCTTGCTTTTTCATGATAGATAAATTGCATTATTTCTATTTTAAATACTTGTGCAGAATAAACAGTTGCCTTTTGGCATTATTTAAAACCCTAAACTAGACTCCTGAGCTAGAGAAAACTTCCATTTAAAATAAATTCTGTTCTTTATGTTATCCTTAATTACTTACACAGTGGTTAAAATGTTTTAAATTTTGGCAGAGAATTAAATGATATGACAACTGATATAATTAAGTGTACTCTTATAACTTAATTAGTATGCCTCAGTAATTAAGTCCATTGGGTACATCATTTTTGTTAAACCAGATGATTATGTAAAAATAATGTTACTCATTTTTACCATTTTTAGCTGGATCCAGAACGAAGTTTATTTGACCAAGGAGTAAAGACAGATGGAACTGTACAGCTTAGTGTACAGATAATTTCTTACCAAGGTAAGTTAATATTAGTGTAGTTATTTAAAACTTTACTTGTGTTTTTCTAATATGGCAACTCGATTTTTGGAAGTTTTGGGTGTTTTAGATGGTTGTCTAAATTACTGCAATATTACAGACAAATATTCATGCTTTTGATTTAATTATTTTATCTGTCAAGGTGAAACAGATAGTATAACACATTCTACCTAGTTTAATCAGGAAGAGATATATTGTAGAGTAGTAAGTAACAGGATCAGAGAGAGGGTCTGGAAGAACAGGTTCTAATTGGCTTTCTAAGAATGCCCCAGCCAAACCACAGTGCTGGGCTGCCAAGGGAGCTGCTGCCCTCCCCGCCTGCCGTTTAGAACCATCCTGCCTTTTCAGTGAAACACAGCAGCCAGAAGTGGATGCCATGTGCCCGCTTCTCCCCTCTAAACTCATTTCTCAATAGAAGGCCCATGCCAGTGATCCTGGGGCTTACGTCCCATTGGGAACCACCACTGCAAGGAGATCTCATCTCTGCAGTACAGCACAAAAAGAGGAATTTGTGAAGAGCTTTATTCTCTTCCTTGTCCCCACATTTTTTTTTGACCTGTTTACAAATAAGTTGCAGACCTAATCCACTTCTATTCCTAAATGCATCAGTGTGTGTGTTTTCTAAAAACAAGGAATTCTTTTAAAAGACCACAGCACATTTATCAAAATCAGGAAATATTAATCGATACAACACTGTTATCTAAACTACTAAGTAAGGTTCTATGGAATCATTGTTATCATTTCATAGGAATCTTTTGAATTCTCTAGATATATTGCTAAATATATTTAAAATGGAGTTTTGCTCTATCATTTGAGAATGTATAAAGTAAACTAAATTTCGTTAGTGACTTTTATGTTTTCATTTAAACATTTTTTTTAATTTACTGTTAAGGAATTGAACCAAAGCTCAACATCCTTGAAATTGTTAAACCTGCGGAAACAGTCGAAGTAGTTATTGATCCAGATGCTCACCATGCTGAAGCAGAAGCACATCTTGTTGAGGAAGCTCAAGTGATAACTCTCGATGGCACAAAACACATTACAACCATTTCAGATGAAACCTCAGAACAAGTGACGAGGTGGGCTGCCGCGCTGGAAGGTTACAGGAAAGAGCAGGAGCGCCTTGGGATACCCTATGGTAAGAAAAAAACATAATTACATGGTAGGTAGAATAATAAGAATTAAGCTTGACATGGAAGATACTAGAGTAAGTTATAATCTGTTTTAAATGTAGAATTTTCGGGAAGAATTTTTTTTTTTTTTTACCATAACACATGATGGATAAATACTGTCCTGGGTACTAGGAATACAAAGGAATACAATTGTCTTTACTTAACAGTGGGGATATGTTCTTAGAAATGCATTGTTAGAAGTTTTATCATTGTACAAACATAGAGCACAGATACACAAACCTATATGGTAGAGCCCACTGCTCACCTAGACTACATCGTATAGCCTGTTGCTCCTAGTCTATAAGCCTGTATATCATTTTAGTGTATTGAGTACTGTAGGCAATTATAATATAATGGTGAACATTTGTCTATATAAAAACAGAGAAGCTACAGTTACACCAAAAGTTTGGTGTAAAAGATAAAAATGCGATACCTGTATAGAGAGAGCACTTTCCGTGAATGGAGTTTGCAGGACATGAAGGTGGTCTGGGTGAGTCAGTGAGTGAGTGGGGAGTGAACGTGGAAGGCCTAGGGAGTTACTTACACTGCTAGTGACTGTGTAATCGCTGTGTAGGACACACTAAATTTACCAAAGCAAAATTTTATTTTATCAGTAAATTAACTTCTTAGCTTACTTCATCTTTTTTATTTTATAAACTTTTAATTTTTTTTAACTTTTTAGCTCTTTCGTAATAGCACTTAGCTGAAACACAAACACAGTATACAGCTGTACAAAAATGTTTTCTTTAGACCTCACCCTAGTTGAAACTTTTAAACTAGGACAAACACATGCATTACCCTAGGCCTACACAAAATCAGAGTTGTCCGTACCACTGCCTTCCACCTACCACTGCCTTCCACCTCCACGTTTCAAATCCCACTGGGAGGTCTTCAGGGGCGATAAATAACACACCTGCAGCTGTCATCTGCGATAACCATGCCTTCTCTGGAACAGCTCCCGAAGGACCTGCCCAAGGCTCTGTGGGGGGGGGGAGGGGTCACTCTTTTCTGAAATATGTCCACAGTGGTTTGCTTGTTGTTTTGGTGGTGATTTTTTTATCATAGATTTATTCGTAAGCACATAATGCACCATGAACATTCCTCTCTGTTATGAAAACCTTTCAGTGTTGGCGTCCATGTTTTCAGATTTTTTAAGGAGCTTGTTGAGGTCTGCTTCTGCTGAACTCCTACTCTCCATTTTCTTGGAGGTTCTTCTTTTCCGTCTGCAGTTTCCTTTTCTCTTGCCTCTTCCATAGCTTTGTGTTCCTCCTTCCAGTTCCAACAACTCCTCTTTAATTCCTTCCTCAGGAACTACCTCTAGGAGCTCCTCAGTGTCCTCCTCCTACACCCAGATTAAGCTGTTTGCCATCTCGACCACAGCGTGTTGATTTGTGCAGTCTTTGCACCGCGGTGTTGTGGTGGGTACAGCATCACTGGGTGACAGTTGTTTTTCAGCTCCATTATACTCTTACGGGACCCTGTCGTAAATGCAGTCATAGTTGACCAAAATGTCATTACACAGCCTACAATTGTATTAAATTTTTTTTCTACCCTTAGGGTGTTCACAGTGTAGTTGAAGCGAGGGAAGATAGATGAAAAGAGGTAATTGCCATAATGGTAACATGTTTTAAGCTGCCAGTAACTGGTGTAAAGGAGACGTGCTATTAGCATCTCAGAGAGGTCGTAGCAGCCTGGGGAAACGAGGAAAGGGTTTATTACAAAGAAATTACCAGGCATAGAAGGACATTCCTGACAGGAAAAGTATGTATAAAGCTGGGAAGTGGGAGTATGCTTGAGCAGTGAGGAAGTGTAGTGGATAAGGAGTTACTTTGCAGCTTTATACAGCTGTTTTGGATTGATGGAATTTACAGTTGAAAATAAGTGTGGCAGCGTGTATGACAAGTTGGAATAGGTAGAGTGAAGGGAAAACATTAATATTGTAGTTTTAAGTATGGCTACGTGATAATATCTAGGTTAGGTCATTTCTATGGGTATAGAAAGAAGAGGGTCAAAGCAGTGAAAGGACTAAGCAACTGACTGATACAGTTGTACGAGGGTAGAGAGGTAAAATTTAGGTGTTGATGTGACTTTGCAATCTTGGTGTCTGGGGCTGTAATATTGGTAACTATTGGTTGCATCTTCATTACATAGTTTGTGAACTGTATGCCAAGCAATGTATTAAATGCTGGGCTTTTAATGGTCCTCGGTAAAGTCAGTCCATGCATTCCAGAACTTAGTGACCAATTGGTAGGGAGGTCTGGTATTGGATTTATCAAGGACAGGTGTTGATAGTATGTGATTTTGAAGTAATAGTACATACTGAACTGGAGGTAGCCAGAGAGTAGTTTCAGGTATACAAGATTGGAACTGGAATAAAGATATTGTCTAGGACTCAGTCACATTGAATTTATACTTGTACTGAAGCCATAAAATATATTCAGTCTCTGAGGGAGAGAGATAAAATGGAAAAGAACATAATGTTAAAGGCTGGTTCTTGGACTTTGTCAGTTATTAGAGTTTAGGAAAAGGAAGGGAGAAATGGAATAACTGAAGAGATAAAAGGAAGGAAAATGAGAACTGTATATAGTGTTATTGAAACTGAGAAAGAGTTTTAGATGATTAAAAGTCTGAATGCCGCTGAGAAACTCAAAGAATGCCGACTGAGTAATAGATACTAAATATGGTGATCAGAGGCTCATGGTAGATTTAGATCAAAGGAACTATACAGGTGGAGACAAAGCTGAACTACTAGGAGTTAACATTGAAGAAATGGAGAAAATTTAATATTAACTTTTGGGGGAAGAGTACTGGGGGAATAAATAGTATTGAAGACTCAGGAGTTGGTGGTGACGAGTGCATTCGTAGGTGTGTGGTATGGAAGTAGTAGGAGGTGAGACTAAGTAAGCATGGAGCAGGGCCATTGATTGAAGCACAGCAACGTAAATGAGCTTAGCTCAAAGGATGGGGCCTGGCCTTTCCTCAGAGGTGGGATGAAACTGTTAAGTTATCTTTGACATCTGAAGTTGGTATGAATGGTATGCTTGACCTTAGTGAGTTGGGAGTCATCTCTTCAGAGGAGAATGCTAAAAATGAAAGAAGATAGGGTAAAAACATTTAAAATGATATTTTCTAGAGTTTGCTAGACTTTCAACAAGAACTCTTCTAGTAGAATCTTTTATGGAGAGTAATGTATAAATATTAATTGTAGGTAGGCAGATTATAAATTCTGACTCAAAGTTCCTACAAAGAATATTATTAGAATGAAGCTCTTTTAAAACATTTGAAATTTATTTTGGTATAGAGAGACTTCAAAATATCATTTGCGATTTTTCTTACGGAATTGTTACCTTCCAGAAAGTTTTAGAAATGATTAATATTTTCATTGGAAATTATTGTTTTGGGTTTCTATTCTGCACTAAGAGTAATTTTTTTTGCTACTTCCTTAATTCTGTGCAAAATTTAAATATAGTTAATTGGTTGTAGGTACTTTAAATCTCTTTGAAATACTGATCCACATTGGAAAGTTTTCTCAGCTTCACTTCACACACATCAGTTTGATATCTTGAAAGGACCTGAGAGCCACATCTTGATATACCTTTAATTCTTTATTTTATTATTTTTATTATTTCACATTAAATATCTGTGAAGAAACTAATGAAATTAAAGAAGTCTAGTCAAATCAAGTTATGGAGAATGTTAAAATTGACTAAAAGTAAGATTAGAGTAAATATATTCTTGTTCTTTATTAAATAGAAATATTGAAAAGATGAATATGCTGAGGTTATTTTTCCAGTTCTTTGAATAATTAAAAAGGAACATACTTGTGTTTTTGGCTACCAGAGTTGTCAAAAATTAACATTTAAAAGTATGATACATATTTTCAGAAAATAAAGAATAATACAGTCGATTCAGATCTAACTAGCTATCTACTTCCATAGGTCCACCCAGCCCGTGCCCGGTGGGAGAGGTCTGTCATTTATGTATCTTTCAAGTCCGGTTGACTGTACTATCATTTTACTGGGATCTTAGAGAAAAGACAAGGAGAACATGCATGGCCAATTAGTAATGTTAAAACCAGAAGTCCTGATGTTATTTTAGAGAACAAATCAGACTATTTCTGTTTTCTTCTAACTTCTTAGATTTGCTACTTTTTTTTGTTTATGTAAAATGAGCGTGCTTGGACTTTTAAGGGGAAGTGTGGTTCTGCATAGTTTTTCTAACGAGCCACACCCCTCCTCCTCTTGCTTTCACAGAGCTCCTTGCTTTCTCAGTTCCTTTATGTTCTCTTACTCCACTTTTACCTGGACCTATTCTTTCCTTTTCCTTGGTGTTCTATGCTATTCAGTTTCAGTTCCACTCCCACCAATTTCTCCTCATTGTGGTCCACTCGCTAGAAGTGATTTTGGTTCAGTTTGAAAAACTCACGGGTGTTACGCTGCTCCAGCCCCTCAACCTTACCAGACCTGTGTATTCAGCTGCTATTGGATTGGGCAAAACTGCTTTGAGCTGCTCCTTTCGCTTTGGACTGTTGTGCTTTTAATGGGTGCTTCTGGCTGTGTTCCAGTTTTCCAGTGCTCACAGTGGGTGTTGTGTCACATGAGTCTTTGTGCCCCTGTGCATTCTCCTGCACAGATGCTGACACTGTGGTGGTCTTGTGGTTGTTACTGCCTCATCTTCGCCTGCATGTATTTGGGGGTCCATGGGGATATCTTGTTTTAATTGAAAATATTAATGGATTTTTGGTTTTGCTCTATAATTGATTTTAGTGATTTTTAATTCAGAAAAAATTTTAAATTTCTCTGCCATTTTCTCAGAATCCTCCTGAAAAATAAATCACATAAAAAAAATCAATTTTGTGGCTGTTAGTCCTGTATCCTTATGTTGATTGATTTTAATGTATATTGGTTCCTGATTAAGTACCTAAGTGTTATTTTTCCCACCTATTTTCTTATTGAATAGCATGTATCTTGATGGCATATAACCAGTATTATTTGGATAGATTATCTCCATGCATCGATACCTATACCAAAATTAATCCAGCTAGTGTTTATTAAAGTTCTATGAGTAGAATGCTCTATTAGGTCTATTAGGTCGGGAATACAATGAAAAACAATGAGGAAATGAAATTATTTGGGTTCACCTTTTGCAGAGTCAAGAAATATATGCACAAGGCACTGTGGTAAATTTTAAAGATAGAATGATTCACGAGACACCAGCCTTGTTTTAAGACTTTAATGTATTTTAGGGGAAGATAGTTGAATAAACAGGCAGTTTGCATGTTGTATGGGAAGGGTAAATGCAGGAGCAACCAGCTTTTTATAAGAAGCAGCAAGAAGGAGGAATAACCTCATTGTTCACTTTTTGGATAGTAAGCCTAGCTCCATAGAAACCCCTTTGGTTTTTTGTTTGTTTGTTTTTTTCCCCCCAGCGCACCAAGTCATACACTGCTACAAGATAAACATTTTTATAAAGATTTTATTTATTATCTTTATGCCCTGGCTGGTGTAGCTCAGTGGATTGAGCACAGGCCTGCGAACCAGAGGATCGTGGTTCAATTCCCAGTCAGGGCACATGCCTGGGTTGCAAGCGAGTTCCCTGCAGGCCAGTTCCCAGCAGGGGACACACTAGAGGCAACCATACATTGATGTTTCTCTCCCTCTCTCCTTCCCCTCTAAAGATAAATAAATAAATAAATATTTTTTAAAAAGATTTTATTTATTATTTTTAGACAGGGGAAGGAAGGAGAAAGAGAGGGAGAGAAACATCCACGTGTGGTTGCCTCTCATGCACCTTCTACTGGGGACCTGGCCTGCAACCCAGGCACGTGCCCTGACTAGGCATTGAACTGTTGACCTTTGGTTTGCAGGCCAGCGCTCAATCCACCAAGCTTCACCAGCCAGGGTTACAAGATAAATCTTTAAACTCGGATAACTTCCTCCAGGGTAATGACATGCTTCCTTTCATTTGGCCCGCTGAAGAACAATTTTGCATTTTGTTTTTCTTGAGAAAATTTCAGACTGACAGACACAGAGCTATATGAATTCATCAAAAATTTAGATTAAGAAATTGAAAAGGAGCTAAAGTGAAAGTATAACATAAAAATCTTTTTTACTTTATATACTGAGCTTACTTGACCTGCTTGCGGGGAAAAGCTGTCTGGATTTTATCTGTGTATATATGTTGATAAGTTAACTAAAAATGTATATAATACCTAAGATGAAACTAGGCTAATGGTAATATTTTTCTTTTTAGATCCTATACAGTGGTCTACGGACCAGGTCTTGCACTGGGTAGTTTGGGTAATGAAGGAATTCAGCATGACGGATATAGACCTCAGCACACTCAACATTTCAGGACGAGAATTATGTAGTCTCAATCAAGAAGATTTTTTTCAGCGAGTCCCTCGGGGAGAAATTCTTTGGAGTCATCTGGAGCTTCTTCGAAAATGTATAAGTTGGAGTTATTATCTGTTTACATTGTAACTTAATTTTACTTCTTTATAACTTAGTTATTGTAACTGCTTATTGATAATAACAATAATACTTAACATTTATTCACTGTGTAAGGCTGTGCTAAGAGTTTTATGTGTATTTTCTCAATTTAATCTGTTTTAAGACTGCAAATCACAGAGGAATATGATATTTAGAGTGCCTGTATGGTCTTATACTAAGCTTTCAAAAACTCCTCTCTTTCCATGTTTTGCCTTCTATTTTGAGAGTTCCTGGGAAGCAGACCAAACTCTGAGAATCAGGACTTAGAAGCTAATGTTACGGGTTGGTCACATCTGTGCTGTGTGATGGTGACTTTGTGTTGCCTCTTTTTAGGCTGGGGCTCCTGTGTTCATTTATAGTCAGCAATGGAACAATTTCAATTTCAGTTGCACTTTGCCTCTTCAAGGTACTTTTACAAAATTTTCGGGGGGAAATCTGCCACAAATATGAAGCATGGATTTTTCTGCAAGAGAGACAACAGCTCTTGGGGAGAATTCTCAGAACTAGGAATCTGGATGAAACAACATCTTCAGTTTACTGAAAAGTTAATTGTTTCAGGCACTGTGCTTCTTAAAAGTATTTTCCTTTAATCCTCAGGACCATCTCGTGAGGTGGCAGTTATGGGCTACTGCATTTAAACATGAGGACTTTTTAATGTTTGTATTGGTTGAATGACAGCCAGAGTTACACAGCCAGTAAGTGAATGCTCAGATCAGAACCCGGATCTGTCTGAGGCTAGTTGCATATAATTGTTTAAACCCCCAAACACAGAGAACCCCCCAAAAAACTCCCACCTGACAAGTAGGAGTCAGACTTCTTTTTAGTTCTCTCGCCCTTTCCCGCTATGTGTGTCTAGAACTGGGTCCTGGCATGGCACCCTAAGTAGAACTGTGTTGGGAGCCCAGGTCCCAGGACTCACTCAGTACACGGATGATTGTTGGTTGGTACGATTTCAATTTCAAAACGCTTCCAGGCAATAATGGGCAGTAAATAGGCCAAAGTAGTAGAGACTGGGAAGTGTACCTCTTGTTTGAGAGGGAAAGAATAGCAGTAGATGAGTAATGAATGGTTCGCTAAGGGATTATATTAGGGCCTTTTACAACATAACTCTTAAGTTTGGGAGCTGTATTTGTAGACCTGTTAAATAATCTAGTTTATTTGTGACCATTAGGGCAGTTAACAGTTACTGAAAATTTAGCTATCTTGAAAAAGCATTGTCAAATTAAAACAGTTTATTTAAAAGTGGCTATTAGAACAGATTATTAAATTATGGTTTCTCTGATCATCTTGAGGGAGCCTTTTTAAGTGAAGAATGTATGTTTAAACGATTTCAGTGTGGTACATATTCTCATCTCTGATCTTTTTCTGTGTTTCACATGGTTAGACAGATTTAGTTGTAGATATTTACATTTAGAAAACCATGTTTCTCTGTATAATGAACTCTAAAAGAAATTGAAGTTATCCCTCTGTTATCTCAAAAATATGTTGTAGAGTGACTGTCACATATTTTTGGAGTTATCATGCCAATAAGTTTCAATTGATGTTTTGCTTTTATTGTTTCATTAAGTTTTGGTTGTAATTGTGTTTCTTTTGAAAGAATCATGTCTATTAAGTTCAGTTTTACTGGATTGGGTTTTACATTTCTAGTTTTAAATGAAACCAAAAATTTTGTGCATTTTTTTCAGATGTATTGGCAAGCCAAGAACAACAGATGAATGAGATAGTTACAATTGATCAACGTGAGTATTCCCACCCATAATATATGTCCCGTTTATCAGTCAGAAGTGTTTTCTTTATTCATTTGCAAGGAATTCATTTCCTTTATTACCTATGCAAGGTAGTAAAAAGATAAACTAATTTTTAAATATTTATGAAGTATTTTAGATACAGAAAAAAATCTTTATATATAAAGTTTACCTGTTGCAGATCCCATTTAATTTTTTAATTTTTTATTTTAATATTTTATTTATTTTATTTTTAGAGAGAGGGAAAGGGAAATAGAAAGTGGGAGAGAAACATCAGTGTGTGGTTGCTTCTCATGTGTCCCCTACTGGGGACCTGGCCTGCAGTCCCAACCTGTGCCCTGACTGGGAATTGAATCAGCGGCCCTCTGCTTCAGAGGCCCACGCTCAATCCATTGAGCCTCACCAGCCAGGGCTGCAGGGCCCATTTTAAATGGCTATCCTGAATTGGGTGTTTCCTATTATTCTATGCATATTTTATATTTTTACCAACTATGTAGCCATAAACACTTTATAGTGTTTTGCATGTTTAAACTTTTGGGGGGAAATGGTAATATACTATATATATCCTTTTATATGTTGCATTCTTGCTTAAAAGTTATGAGACCTACCCGTATTGATACTTAGAGCTCTATTTCATTCATTTTTACTGCTGTATATTAAAATTTGGTGGACTTCATTGAATAAATATTTGTCAGAATGTATGTGAATTTTTTTGGTTGTAGGTATCTACCTTTCCAACCTTACCAGTTTTTTTCTTCAAACTGGTGATATAAATTTGTATTCTCATCAGTAGTGGAATGTGAGTTCACATTTGTACCCGTTTTCCCAACATCTGATAAACCATTTTTTGCCGCGGACCAGCCACAGCAGGGTCCATGGAAGAGGACGTGGCAATTTTAAATGATCAAATATTTTGTATCTGTGTATACATCACTAAGTTATTTAAAAAATAAGACCATCTCTTACTAAGTTGAGATTCATGAACAAGTATAATGCCTTATCCTTGAAACTGTTTTTGAAATTTTTTTCCAAACTGTTGTGAATTAAGGCATTTTTAAATGAGGCCTTTTGTTGATATAATTAGAGGGGTATTAGTTAAACTAATTGCATTTTATGTCTTTCTGTAGTTTTTTTAACTGTGTTAGAAAACAGTTTTGTCCTTGTCTTTCTTTGCAGCTGTCCAAATTATTCCAGCGTCAGTTCAGTCTGCTACACCAACTACAATCAAAGGTATAAACAGTAGTGCAAAGGCAGCCAAAGTACAAAGAGCTCCCAGGATTTCAGGAGAAGATAGAAGCTCACCTGGGAACAGAACAGGTATTTTTGCATTACCGTCACCAGATAAAATTGTTGCATTTCACTCGATGAAAATATGAGTATGGACTGTTTTTCTGTCAATAGTGAGACAGCATTTGAAAAAGCACCTGTGCTTTTAAGCACAGCTGAGCTAGGGACCAGAGAGACTGTTGTCTTTTGCCCTCTGTTAATTCATAGCACTATGGTCAATGCTTGTCCTTGTTGATTTAGGAAACAATGGCCAAATTCAACTGTGGCAGTTTCTGCTCGAACTTCTTACTGACAAGGATGCTCGAGACTGCATTTCTTGGGTTGGTGATGAAGGCGAGTTTAAGCTCAATCAGCCTGAACTGGTTGCACAAAAATGGGGACAACGGAAAAATAAACCTACAATGAACTATGAGAAACTCAGTCGTGCATTAAGGTGAGCATTTATTACTTTTTGAAATAAATATTAAGCCTTTCTAAAAAAATGGCTTCTTCTAGGTGTAAACATTGTAATGTAGTGATGTTAAAATACTTGTTTTTACTATAAGTATTGTTTTGTTATAGGTTATAAAAAGCTAAAATTTTTCACACTAGTGTTAAAGATGATTTCTTAAGAATATCTTTAGTGGTAATTTTGAGGTATGTAGAGTTTTTTTAAGTTTAGTTTTTATCAGGGAAAGCTTCTATTTATCCTTTACACCTGAAGGTTAACTGCTGGATAGATTATTCTTGGGAGCCTGCAGTTCTTATCTGAAGCATATGCTTAAAAAAAAAACCATATGCTACTCTATTTAAAACCAACATGTTTAATCTTTGAGGTTTCTGTCATTTACATAACAAAGATACTGTTACTTGCATTGCTGAATTGAGTGTAAACTTTAGCAAATATACAAATATTACCTATTTTTATAATTAAAGGCAAAATGATCACCCATTTTCCTCTTTTCTTCCCTTAAAATGGCCTAAATCTGAATATCCAGACTTCACATTGATAGAATTAGAATGGAATAAAGTTATTTATAATTTTCTCTACATAGTATGAAATTTTTTGATGTAATTACTATAAGAAATTATGTTTACTATACAGTGATGGACAGTCATTGTGTACATTTAAGTATCTGGGAAATAGGATATGTAGGAATATCATAGTTATTTCTTTTTTTTGAAGAGTGAATATAGTGAAGTCGTTCCACAATTTACTTCCATATTTCTAAGTAGCATTTTTACTGCTACTTCTCGTTTCACTTGGACTTTGCATCTGAGCTTCACAGTGAGAGAGGGTGGTCTGCCCCTTACCACTGCACACACACCCCCTTTTGTCCTCTCATCCCCCTCTGACTGTATGGGGATTGTGTTCAGATCAGGTTCCTCATTATAGGATCATGGCCATTGCAAGAACTGTTACATAGTCCGCTGTGATTTTTTTTCTTTCTAGAATGACCTTTTGTTTTCCTTATCATTCATAAGTAACTAAAATGCTTTATTTTCAGTGTGCTTGTCATTTATTCAGTCTCAAACACTTTGCCAACTGACTAAAAACCCTTTGAGTGTCATCAGAATTAAAACAGCCATTTTGACCGTTGATGTTACTGTGCACATACAAACTCCCTCAAACTTACCAGTGAATTATTGGAACTAAAAATTAAGGTGTCGGCTCTTCCTGGGCTGAGCTAAGTTGCAGTGCAATAACCATCTGAGTAAGTTTTTTCCATAGAACTTGACAAGGTAATTACAAAGTTTATAAGGGAATACAACGCACCACAGTGACCTGAAGGACTTTAGCAAGGTGCGGAGACTTGCTGTGGGGGGTCGAGACCCCGTGCGCAGCTGCGGCAGTGAGACTAAAACAGGGTGCTGTTTGCCTACGGAAGTCAGGCCGGCCCTGGATTAGAACACATAGCCCAAACAGAAGCCAGAAAATACAGCAGCTTTCGATTGTAAAATGAAAATGGGGAGAGGGCGTGATGAAAAGACCTAGTTTTCAATCAGTGTCGTTGGGACAACTGATTCCATATGAGGAAAAAGGAAAACATCTTGCTAAAAATCAGTTCTGTGTAGCTTGTGGCTCTAGATATCAAAAATAAAATAGGAAAGCATCTGTAAATACCTTTAGGACCTTGATGGTGAGGAAAGACATTGAACAAAACCAAAAACATTAAGCCTAGTAGAGAGGATGAGTCCTGGCTGGTGTGGGTTAGTGGGTTGAGTGCAGGCCTGCAAATCAAAGGGTCGTGGGTTTGAACATGACCGGTTCGATTCCCAGTCAGGGCACATGCCTGGGTTGGGGGCCATGCAAGAGGCAACCACACATTAGTGTTTCTCTCCCTCTTCCTCCCTTCCCCTCCTCTAAAAATAAATGAATAAAACCTTTTTTAAAACTCACTTACAAATAAAAAAGAATCAATAAATAGGACTACTTTTAAATTAAGAACTTCTGGTCATCAGAACATCAAGAGAGTGAAAGGTGGGCCACATGTATCTGGTGTGAGAGTCATACCTGGAATATCTGAAGAACTCTTATAAATTGTTAGGAAGAAAGAGAAAAATGGACAAGAGACTTAAATAGACATTTCAGAGATTTTTCAGGTGGCCAATAAAATGTATGTAAAGGTTATTAGTAAGTAGGGAAATGTGATTTAAAACCACAATAAAATGGTACAACACACAACCTCAAATGGCTAAAATTAAGATGATTACCAGTCCCAGGAGTGCTAGCGAGGGTACAGAGCAGTGGGAATGCTTCTACACTTCTGATAGGATTGTAAATTGTAACCTGTAAGCCAGTAGTTAGTCTCCTAAATATTTAACAGATAAAAATGCCCGCATATGTCCACGCATGCTCATAACAGCATTACTGATAACATGTAAAACCCGGAAACTACCCAGATACGGGTTTGTCCCACTCTGAGAGTACGGTGGTCCGCTGAAGCCTTTCATAAGTTGACCTGGCGTCAAATGAAGAAGCAGGTGCCATCAGCTTACATAGAAGCATTTCTAGGTATTCCCAGACCCCAAAATAACCTACCAAACTGTACCAGATACATAAAATCTAACATAACACCGACATACAGTAAAAGCAGGAACGTGTGGAATAAATAAATCAGTACAGAGCACAGACGCTTACAGAGCGTTCAAAGCACTTGCAGCTTGTTGCCGGGAGGCCAAGTGTCGTTTCCGGGGAGGGGCTTGGCGGGGTCGTTGCTCGGAGTGTGTGCTGCCTCGCCAATGGCTTGCTGAGAAACAAATGCTGCACACAGCTCCTTGCCTTTGTTCATAAAAGTGAAAATATCCTTCAGATGTTTTTGGTAGCGAAATCAGGGACTCACGCAGGGTTTCTCGTGAACGTGATGTGGCATACATAAACTTTGGGGATGCACAGTATACTCGTACCTGTCAAAGGTAGAATGAATAAATAAAATTGAGTAGAGTGAGTACACAGTGGAGGAAAATACACTGTGTACCCATGAAGATGGAATCTTGTTCCAAGCACTGATAATGGGTGAACCTCATAATATTCGGTCAAAATCCAGACCCCCCAAAAGAATTCAGATTTGTTCATGGACTATATGAATGCACTGATAGATAAAGTTAAAAAAAATAGGAAAACTAAATTACAGCATTTAGGATGCGTGTTTGGGTGACAAGAATGTAAGTGAAAGCACTGAAATTACTGTCATGAGACAGGAATGTGTTCACCTCTGGGCGGGGAAGTGATGATGGGGAGGGGCCGTGCTGGGGACTCTGGGTCCGGGCAGTGGTTTCCTGACCCGAGTCGGAGCCCACAGGTGAACATGCACTTTGTCATCAACCACTGAGCTGTTCACATTTCTGTCCTCTTGGTTTGTGTGATATATTTCACAATTTCAAAGGTTAAAAAAAGTTTCAAAAATAAAGGAAGAAATGTTCATGAAAATAGAGGTATTGTGTACCTTTCACTTCATTTTAGAGGGGGACAAATGGAATGAGCTATTACGTGGTTGTGTGATTTATCTAATAAATTGAAGGAAGTATTAGGTAAAATTAAAACTTGGGTATATGTATTTTTTATCACCTCTTACCAAGAAACATTCGATTATACCACCTTAGTTTCCCTCCTTGAAATACAAAGCTACTTCTGTCTTTGTTCTTTTTTTCTCAAGTGTCTGTTTACTACAGCCTAACATGTAGAAATTCTCTTAAGAAATTGAAATGCCAGTAGCGTTTAAACTGAATGACAAGCATTTGGTGGCTTGTGCACTGAGATCTAAATTCTGTATTAATGTTTTGGCACAAAAGGAAACACAAGGCCCTGCCCAATATGTTGTGTCTCTTACTGGGAAAGTGAACATAACTGTTCTATATCTGCTGTTCTGCATTTAGGGAAAAGTGACATGATTTTCTGTGTATAAGTCAGTCGTTTCATTAATGGACTCAAACTGAGTGACTGTTATAACAAATTGCTGCCATATATGGTAGTTTATACCGTTGGTACTTTTGCAAATGTTCCTTTTGTCATAAATCACTAACAGCTCTCCATCAAATGGGTGCCAGTGGGCAGGTACTATTTTAAAATAAGGTTTCACAGTCTGCCAGCCCAGAAGTCTTCACTTTTTACTTTCTCCCTATTATTGGAATTGGCAGTACAAAGTGGTAAATAAAGTCTGTTTTCCAAATTAAATGTAAATCCTGTTCCATTTCCATCTCCATAGAAAGCAGCAATAAACTAGTCTCCTAGAACAGAAATTTTCAGTCGGTGCTGCAAGTAATTTCTACAACATACAGTACCTGACTGTTTGAGTCAGTGTCACTGACCTCTTTTACCTTAGATGGTCAGATAAAAAGATGACAGCAGTCCACACAATAGTGGTCCAGTGTGAATGAATCGAAATTATATCTATTTTTTGCCATACCAGCAAAAAGTGTATTTTTGGCGTGTGTCCCATGAGATGAAAAAGGCTGAAAGTCTCTGTTCTAGAGTGTTTTCCACAAATGGAACCAATGTAAGATTCAGAAACAGTGTTGCTTAATGACGTCCTGTGTTGCCGTTTTTGTATTGTCTCTTCCAGCCCTTTTCCTTACTTCCGAGGTTCCCTGTGGGACTTGGAGAATTTCTCTGAAAGGAAAGCCGTTACATATTAACATGATAAAAGTGAAGGGAAGGTTGCACAATACAGGATTTTGTTGAAGACAGAAAAGAAGTAGTCATTTCAGCAATCCATAGACTGTGTACATAAAAATTGCTTCTGTTCTCTGTGGATTCTTAATCATTAGCATAGCTTCTGTTAATAAAGGACTGTTTGCCAGTTATTGTGTGCTTAAGCATTTTGCAACAATAATCCTTTTAATCCTCAACAGTTCAGGACAGTGAGTACTGTTTTTAACCTTTTGTAGATGAGGGATAAAAGGTCAGAGACCAGGTGGGTTTCTTCCGGGCACAGAGAAGATAAGGTGCTGGGTTTCGGGTCTGAGCATTCTGACTCTCAGCCCTTGTTCATAGGTTCTGTTACTGCTCCTGAGGTTTTTTATTTTGTTTAATAATGTTTTTAAAAATATTTTATTTATTCATTTTTAGAAAGAGGGGAAGGGAAGGAGGGAGAGAAACATCAATGTGTGGTTGCCTCTTATGCACCCCCCACTGGGGACCTGGCCCACAACCCAGGCATGTGCCCTCACTGGGAATTGAACCAGCGAACCTTTGCTTCACAGGCCCATGCTCAATCCACTGAGCCACACCAGCCAGGGCAGTAATGTTTATTTTTAAATCAGTGTTTTATCCTAAGTGTGGAAAATATGCTTTGAAATTTAGTATATAATGTTTTGGAGTACTGAGCATTGGAACTGTAGTAAAAATGCCCTGAAGTTTCCTTGGATGGTAACGTCAAATATTTCGGTGTAACTTCAGTGGAAGTTGCTGTTATGGTGCGTGCAGAGCTCTGCTAGTCTTCTGCTTACGGAAAAGTTTGACATATTGTAAGACCAGACTCCTTATTTTTTATATAGTGCTGATGTGTTTTTCTCTTTTTAAAGATATTACTATGATGGGGACATGATTTGTAAAGTTCAAGGCAAGAGATTTGTATACAAGTTTGTCTGTGACTTGAAGACTCTTATTGGATACAGTGCGGCGGAGTTGAACCGGTTGGTCACAGAATGTGAACAGAAGAAACTTGCGAAGATGCAGCTGCATGGAATTGCCCAGCCGGTCACAGCAGTAGCCCTGGCTACGGCTTCTCTGCAGACGGAAAAGGATAACTGAGCCTAGGACCTTCTGGGGTCTCGAGATCTTTCTTAAATACTAGAGCAAGTATTGATTGCTCTTACCTTTATTACTGAATTTGAATCTTTTATTTCTAGACTGTACAATCTGATGCATGATTTTTTTATAAATATTTCATACTCTTGTGAATTTGGATCTTTTTACTTTGAGCATATATTTTAGAATATGTGTATGTTAAAGGGTCACCACAATGGCTTCAGTGTGAAGGCAGGTTCATTGTGGATAATTTGTTAACAGTCAGGAAAGCTAAACTGGTCAGTATTAATGTCTAGCCCTACCAAAAATTGCCAGTAGCATCTGAGGATGAAAAATAAATGAAGTTTCTCCAGGGAGCAATCTGGCTTAACTATTTTTGAGAATATAATTGTTTCCCCCCTCTGCTGCTTTAGATGTTGCTTTTCTTTACATAGAACCTGAATGTGGAGTTTTAACAGCTAACGCATGTGTGCCTGTTTCACCTCGTCAAGCAGAGCTAATACAGTCATATCAAATAAATATATAATCAAATGCTAAACTAACAGTATTAGGCTATTAAAGTAATATTTGCAAACTGAGGACATAAAGCTGTTTCGACCGGCAGAAGAGCAGTGCTGAAGAGGGAGGCCCAGGCCGAAGTCTGGCTTCACTCGAGCCAGTTTGAGGATTTCTGTGCAGATTACTCATAATGTCAGGCCAAGAATTTAAATTATTCTAAAAGAGGCATTTAATTCTAATAAACCAACTATTACAAAAAATTTGAAATGATCTCTGTTTTTCCTGTCAGAGATTTAAAAAAACTGAGAAGGTATAACTCAGCCAAAAAGTTTGGCTTGTTTTGGTTTAGCTTCTCTCTCTCTCTCTTTTTTAAAAATTACTCTTTAGTGCTGATTATTATGCAAAGCAGTTTATATAGTCATTGTGTTTCTGATGAAATGAAGACTTTAAATCAGTCAGCAGTACTTTACCTTTCAAGATATTAGTAAGTTACTTGCAAATAGTAATAGTAAAAAGAAAATTTTGACCTCCAGTACAGGCAGTCTTAAAACAAAATTACCTGTTTATTTAATTTTTCCTTTTGAATATTTATGTGTGTGAGTATATAAATATGTACATGTCCATTGCTTATTTCCTATATATGGGTACACACATATAGGAAGACAGTACTCAAAAGGAAACATATTTCAAAAGTTAATAATTCATTTTTATAAATCTTAAAATGTTAAATAATTCATATATATGAAACTCTTTACTTACCACAAGCTAACACTAACAGAAGTGGCTAGAAATATCTTTCTTTTTTGCTTGCTTGCTTGCTTGCTCACTTTTCTTGCTTTGGTTTTTTTATTATTGTTGTTTTAAGGTATGTATAAATCCTGATATGAGATACTGGCACATAACTTCTAATCCTCTTGTAGCAGAAGATTGATTCTCAAATATTCCTTTATGCACCTTCTCCCTCATCATTTACTTTAAATTCATCCCTCTAAATAGCTTTATAAGAGAGTTAAAGCTTTTGACTAGCTAGGAGGAGATAGCCACGGTAATACAGGCAAGGTCAACAATACTGAGTAGTGGTTTGAAATGAACTACAAGATGCAGGGCTCTTAGGAACAGGAGAGGAGGGATCTATGATCTCCTTGTCTGATAACCTCAAATAACTGTAAGTGCTGTGCTATAGGACTATAAGTGTAATGTTGGTTCATTTGTATAATTGTATTAAGTCCTTTAAGACCCTGCAGTAGGTAGCTAAAAAAGAATAAAATTTATAACTTCTCATTTTTATATTTTTATAAACACATACCGAATAGACTGACAATTATTAGGTGCAGTGATTGCAAGAATACCTGAGTAACTAGCACTATGAAATACTACACAGAATCTCTAGGTTCAGATAACAAATAGCTAAAAAGAAGATTTTGCACCATCCATTTATGGCCTGGGGAGTTGGCAAGTCACTTATTGTTTTAAAAAATAATAAAGTATACTATTCTGGTATATTATCAAGAGCTTAAAATACTTGACATTTAAAATACTTTTTCAGTGACATTATGTTAAAATTTTAGCCAGAATGGCAGATTTTCTTTATAGGTATATATATATATGTGTGTGTGTGTGTATATATATATATATATATATATATTTTTTTTTAAGGCAAGGAACACCTACATTTATTTTAGATTCCTAAAATCAAATTAATTTTTTCCCTTTAAGCATTCCTCAGCTGCTTTAAACACACACATACACACACACTCATTCTGTCCCTTTTCTTTCCTAATTTGAACAGAGACAGTTCTCACATGTATGTGATAGGGTGTTCTTCTTCTTTGCCTCTCTTTATCATTTTATGCACCATAACATAGGTAAAGTAATGAAACTAATTTCCCCAATTGATTCAAAAACTTCTGTTACTTTGTCTCAGCTTACATAAACTATTTTCATTGTCCTTATTGAAGTTCAGTTATCAGAAAATCAGGTAGTCTTTTTCCCTTATTAAAAGATCATGAAAAAATATATAATTCACACTATTCATTCTTTGTTATGTTTTTATGAATGAATTTTCCATAGGAGAATTTACAGTGTATTCAAAGGACAAAAGATAAAATTCTTGGTCATCTCTTGTACCTTATAAGTACAAGAATAATGAAGTGTTCACTTTTGTTTTAAAACTTATTTTCCACGTAAGGTTCTCATTGAGCCACTTTCTTGGGCATCTAGCTAGCTTAGGGTTTGGAAGTTTGTGTTGGCACCAGAAAATCAAATTAGGCAGAATTGCTATGTGTGGTTGGTCTTCACATGAATCAACTTACCACATTCATTTTTGTGTCAATCTGCGTCAGTTAATTAGGAAAAACTTGTTTTTCTCCTCTGATTAATGGTGAAACTCAAGTATATTTCTTTAAAGGATTGTACCTACAAATATTTTTTGCAAGGTTTGCTCTTTTACATATTCATCATTTTATGCTACTGCCTTTTAAAAGGAACTAGTGCATCTTTGAAATAGCACAAAAATATTTTTAAATTCATAATTGCAAAACAGCCTGTGACTAACTTACTGTCTTCATATCTACAGGGTGTAAAAATATTGATATTCAGTGATATTTCACTCGCTGCCAGAAAAAAAATTCTCAATTTTTTGTAAAAGGGAGGAGGATTTTTGCATACATTTTTACTCTTTAAATAAAGACACTTATACTGTCATAATAACAATTATGTATTTCTTTGTGGTTTTTATTTTTTTTGTAATTTTACATAAAACAGTTATTTTCTATTTTTACTCAGATAAAAATATTTGTGCATAAAATGTAAAAATAGTAAAATGAGAAAAATAAAACTATTATACAGTATATTTCTGTGCTGTTAGAAGTTTTATTTCTGCAAACGAAGAGCCTCCAACCTCAGGGACATTTGGCTGGACGAACACGTGGCAATCCACATCCGATGGCCATATCATCCCTCACGCCTTAAAGCTGCCAGCGTGTGAGGAACCGACTCCATGAATTGCAACTGGGTGATGGAGTTTAGTCTTAAAAAAAAACAATGAATGAAATCCTGTTCACAAAGCCAAACCATTGTAGAATAACAGAAGGAATGCAAAGATAGGTGCTTGTTAAAAGGTGAGCCAATGATCGCCAAACTAGAAGTTCTTAGTCTTTTCTTTTTTCAATCAAAAGCAGTAATAACTTGTCCATGTTGGTTAAGTAACAACAAGACGCTTCAGCCAGGACCACATGGAGGGGAATCCGAGAAGACGACTTACCCTTTCGTTCAAGTAGTGGTCAGACTTGGATGTACTTCAAGAAGAAATTATGCTTTGAGATAAATTGCTTTCAGAACGCAGTTTAATTTTACCTAGTTTGAAGTGATGAAAACTGTCAGGAAACTAGTGATGTGTATTTGTTCTCCCCAGACACTGATTGTTTTGGGTAGAACTAAAGCTTAATTTGCAAGCCAAGCACATGTTAAAAATGCTTTTTATTTCTAGTAAGCCAACTGATTTGGAACACTGCTTTTCAAGTTTTCTGAGGTGAAGGGTCTTTTTATTTCCAGTTGGTCACAGATTGAAATTTTTGTAAAATAAAACGAATGAAAAGGGGAAGGGGAAATGGAGAGCTGTTTAACGGGTAGTTTCAGTTACTGCAGATGAAGAGGCTGTGGAGCGAGATGGCATGACAGGAGGTGTGCTTAACAATAGGAACGGTACACTAAAACATGGTGAAAATGGTAACTTTATGTGTATTTTACCAAAATCAAAATCGTCTTTAAATATCAATGACCAGAATTCTTAAAATTGCTATAATTCACCAAATTGACAGTACAGGGGTGGGGGAACATGGTCATCTCAGTAGGTGCAGAAAACGTGTATAATGAAGTTCAGCACCAATTTATGATAACAATGGAGCAAACCAGAATTAGAAGGGAACCTCCTTAACCTAATGGAGAGTATCTGAAAACCTGCAGCTAACTTCATGCAGAATTGTTTGTTTTTCTTCCAAGTTGGGGAAGGCAAAGAGGTATCTCGTCACCATTTCTATTTAATCCTGTACTAAAGATCCAGCCTCTGAAATAAAACAAGAGGAAAAGCATACACATTGTAAGATTAAACTCTTTGCAGAAGACATGATCAAACATGTTGGAAATCTAAAGAAATAGGTAAACTACTAAAGTTTAGTAAGGTACGAGCTCCATGTACAAAGCTCACTTTTATTTCTACATGCTAGTAACGCATAATTGGAAATGGAAGTTTAAAAGCTACCCTTTACAGTAGAATTAGAAAACAAAATAATTAGGGACAAATACAACAAAATTGGTGTAAGACTTGTCCAATGAAAGCCACACAAATTGGTAAGAAATGAAAGGAAAGCTAAGTGGATGAAGATACACCACAATCATGAATTGGAATACTCTCTTTCATAAATGTTAATTGTCCCTAAATTGACATACAAATAATGCAATTTAACAAAAAATTCTGGCAGTCATTTTTTTGTAAACTTGATTATAAAATTTTTGTATAAATGCAGATGACCCAGAATAGCCAAAACAATTTGAAAATAAAGTACAAAACGTGTACTATTTACATAAAGCTTTGCTACTTAAAGTAATCGAGGTACGGTGCTGAGATAAAGACAGACATGAACCAGTGAACAGACTAGAAACCAGAAATAGACTCACACTTACGTGGCCTATTGATTTTCGATAGATGCCCAGATAATTCCACAGTTTTTTTTAAATGTTAGAGCAATGACGCATTTATGGAGAAAAATGAACATCAATTCTTACCTCATATCACACATAAACATTGGATTAAAAAAGGGCTCATCAATCTTAAAAGCAAAAACTCCAAAACTTAAAGAAATGAAGCAAAAGCATGTTTAATGAGTTTGGAGTAGGCCAATATTTTTTAGATAAGACAAAAAAGCAAAGTAAAAATAAGTGAAATAGATGTCAACATTTTTTTAAAAACCCTTGTTTTTTGAAAGATACTTCTAAAAAGTCAAAACATTTAGAAAAATACTTGGCAATACATATATATATCTTACAAAGTTCTTACTTTGAAAATACATATAGAACTCTTTAAGACAGTGCAATAATGTATGGCCAAAAGAACAGATGAACAGATGCTTCAAAAATATATAAACACAGACAATCGTGGTTCGATTCCCAGTCAGGGCACATACCAGGGTTGCAGGCCAGTTCCCTGCAGGCCAATTCCCAGCAGGGGATGCATGAAAGGCAACCATACATTGATGTTTCTCTCCCTCTCTCCTTCCCTTCCCCTCTAAAGATTATATATATATATATACACACACACAAATAGCCAGTAAGCATATGAAAAGTCGTTCAGCATTATTGGTCATCAGCAAGCAAATTCAGTATCACTAAATAAATACCTATTATAACTGCTCAAAGTTAAAAGTCTCACACCAAGTATGGGCCGTGACAAATGAAGATCACACACATTGCTGGTTAAAATGTAGAGTAGCACACTGCTTTGGAATCATTTAACATTTTCGTCACAACCCAGCAATTCCAGTCCTAGGCGTTTAGCTAAGAAAGAAATCCACTGAAAGTCTTCTACACCAATGTTTATAATACAATAGCATGATTCGTAATGGCCCCCAAATGTCTTTCAACAGGTGACTGAACAAACAAATTGTAGAACAGTCATACAATGGAAATACCATTCAGCAATAAAGATGGAGCCCGAGGGAATTTTCAGGCTTGGTGACCACATCCTACATTTCGCTCTGTCAATTACATGGACTGACAAGTTTGCCGAAACTCATTTAAATGTACATTTAAGGGGGGGGGGGGAGCTATGTAAATTACAGTAAAGTTTAAACCTGAATTATTAGAGAAACGAAATTTAAAAAGTAAAAATACTCAGTTATAAATATTAGGTTCCACAGGCGTAAGCTTACTCTCTCAAATTGCTGTCATTGTTTTAATGTCTGTCCTTAGGTCACTGTGGACACATAACAGTTCACAGAGTGACACTCACCTGCAGACCACACAGATTCAGAATGTTTTGTCATTAAATAATGAGCATCACTTTCAATTGAACGATTATGTTGATGTTAATGGTGTATGCAAACTTCTCTGTCATCTGAAAAAAGCACTTTCATATCTGCTAATACAGTAATTGATTTGGGGGGGCTACTTCATGACGAATAACTTCTGTACTAATTCTACAGGTAACATAACATATGAGTAGAACAACACTTCGAGATAATAAATTATTAACCACATCTATAAACAACTCTGTAATTCACTTGCTTAGAAACCTGTGCAGTCTGTTCTACTGTTGCCTGTACTAAAGGGGAAACTAAGGTTCTACCATCGCTAATGTCGGTATTGCCTTTTTGGGGAATGAAAGGGCATGACCTTCCATTCACACACTGGTCAACTCATTATCGTGTAGTCAAACCACACGGTTTGCATGACTTAGTGGTTAAAGGAAAAGCTGTGCGTTCAGAGCTCCATAGTTGGATTCTTCAGCTCTCTGATTTTCAAGTGGAGAGAATATTTTTATTTTAAGAAAAATCTTGAAGTGAAAAAATATGCCATGTTAGCCTGAAATCCACTAGTCAATTAAATGAATATAGAATATCTAGGTACAGAGAATATGTAAGGCAGTGTGTTGAGGAAAGAGCCAGATAAAATAGGTTATAAGTTCCAGGTTTGCCACTAACTAGAAATGAAATTTAGGGCGAATCATTTAGCCTCTCCATATCCTTTCAGGGCTAGGACAGTAGACACATTGGCCTACAGTACAGCTCTATAGAGAGGATTAAACGAAATCGTGTCTGTGAAAGCAACTTGCTAAATAAGCATAGAGTCCCCGAGAAGAAACACTACTCTCCAGAAATCCAGTTCTTTATTTTTGAAATTGGTACTCATGTCATTTAATGATGAAATGAAATGATAAAATGTTATAAAAATGACCACATATTGTTGAACGACTGACTGAATAAATGAATAATGGCTAATTCTGACCATTTACGTTGTGTCAAGCACTGGGTGTGCGCTCTCATTTATCTCAGCTGTTTGAAGTGGGTACTAGTATTATCCATTTTACAGATGAAGAAATTGAGGCACAGGGTGGTTGGACAGGTCCGCCAGGGTTAGTTGTTTAAGGGCAAGCTAGACCTGAAGCCAGTGCTCCAGCTTTCGATTAGGAGTAAGTCTGTCTTGGTAGGAAATTGCTGTGACGTTTAACACGTTTAGCAAAGAATTGCAAACCTTGCATATCTCATTATCCTGGCTTTTATTTGTCTTATCCAAAGCGAGAAGCTTACATTTTTCTTTCTTTACATTTTCTTCTTACGTTCTTCCTCTAAATTTATGTAAGTCAATAAAGTTTCACAAAAATACTGTCAGTAAGACAATGGATCTAGGCAGTCGTCACCAACAGCTGCTAAAACTATCGGTGGGAAGTGGGTGAGACGTTTGATAAAAGAATAAATAATCCCTGAATGCACTGATCAATCCTATCACAAAAGGAGAGAAGACTAGATGTGTACCATGTAATGTGATGTATTGACTGTTCTTGCCAAAAATTAAATTGAGTCCGAATCTGATAAATCCCCCAGATGTAAGTGCCAGCTTATAGGCAATACAGGCACCAGAGAAACTGTCATTACATGGATGCAATCAGCAAGATACAAATAAAGACAACGCAAGTACAAAAAAAAAGTAATGAGAAGAAAAATCAATTACAGAGGAAAAGGAGAATGCACAAAGAGACTTGAGTCTTATTTTTAAAATTGACATGTAATTGACATACATTGGGGTATTTTTTAAAATCAAATGAAATGAG